CCTCGATCTGGGGCTCCACGCAAGATCTCACCCCGTGGGGTCAAAATTATCCCAAAGCATGACAATGATCCCAAACACACCTCCCGGATAACGAAGGAGTGGCTTCGTAAGAAGCATTTCAAGGTCCTGGAGTGGCCTAGCCAGTCTCCAGATCTCAACCCCATAGAAAATCTTTGGAGGGAGTTGAAAGTCCGTGTTGCCCAGCGACAGCCCCAAAACATCACTGCTCTAGAGGAGATCTGCATGGAGGAATGGGCCAAAATACCAGCAACAGTGTGTGAAAACCTTGTGAAGACTTACAGAAAACGTTTGACCTGTGTCATTGCCAACAAAGGGTATATAACAAAGTATTGAGAAACTTTTGTTATTGACCAAATACTTATTTTCCACCATAATTTGCAAATAAATTCATAAAAAATCCTACAATGTGATTTTCTGGATTTTTTTTCTCATTTTGTCTGTCATAGTTGACATGTACCTATGATGAAAATTACAGGCCTCTCTCATCTTTTTAAGTGGGAGAACTTGCACAATTGGTGGCTGACTAAATACTTTTTTTCCCCACTGTACCCTCCCTTTGCAACCCTACATTTGACACGAGCTACTGCTGTGGTGGAAGTCATAGGGTATTTTTTGATCTAACAACAGAGAGACTTCTCAGAAAACCTGGCATCACTAGAAAACACTCTTGCTTGTCAGTCTGCTCAGTTCTGGAGGAATGAGCTCCATGAGGCCTTGCTGCCAAAATGAACCAACCAACTAGTCCAAAAAAATTTACAATCAAAATGCACAGGATACATATTGACTGAGCCAAGACTCATTTTGGAAATCACTGAGTCCTTTGAAATGAGCGTGGAGATAATAGGCCGCAGACAGAGGCTGAGCAGCAGTCTGATTGAATGGCACCAAAATGATTTCTCTCACACAAAGAGAAAAGTGATGCCTTCATAGAAACAGAGTGAACTGCTTGTAGCAGCCTGAGTAGTCCTGCTGCCTTAAAAGAAAGCTGGTTGGTGACAGAGGGGCACAGAGAGGCACAGAGCATCCCTGCCAAGCGAAACCCCTTCTCCTTTGGCCCTTTCATATAGCCACTAAGAGGTGGACCCTGAGAACTCAGGATGGGGGTGGTAATGGAATACTCTGGGGTGAAGTTCTCAGCATCATCGGATGATTAGAAGGCTCTATCAAACAGTGTATTATAGAGCACTGTGTGATATAGGTAGGACGCAGCAGGGGTTAGCATCTGGCGCTGAGGCTGTGGGGGGCCACTTTAGCAGGGTTAGCTGGATAGTGGAGGAGAGTGAAACTCTGATTCTGAAGACAGAGAGGGCTTTGAGAGAGCATGAGGAAGAGTAGGACATGTGGTGTACCTTCACCTCATATACATGGAAAGCTGTGAACATGAACAATCCTGGAAGACTTTGTAGAACGACTGCATATCACCAGTTGGAGGCCACTAGCTGGGTTAAAACAATAGAGATGATTTAGACTGTTCAGACAGAAGTAGGGCAGGTGATGATGGGCAATCTAGCAGCAGAGTGCAAAGGGCCACCTCTGGAGGGCTGATTCATTAAACACTGTTGATGCTATCTGAGACCTCTCTCTGGTTCTATGACCAATCGGTCAGTCCTCAACGATACCAGGCCCCGACATGCTTCATAAAAGCCCAGCTAACAGCAGATCATGGATACAGCTGAAATGATCGTTTGAAGAGTGCCTCTGTGGTAGTGAGGGAAGCAGCAAGGCAAGGCGAAGCAGTGGAGGCACAAGGCCCTGGTCTGGCAGTGGTCTCTATTTAATGCGCATTGATAACTTCACCTGCTGGGCCAAAAGCCTCCAGAAGCCATCTGCTCCTTTCCTGTTTTCTCTCATAGCAACCAGCCGGGCCACAAGGAACGACCAAACAAAGACCTCAAGACCACCGGAATCATTCTGGGTTTACATAGAGATTACAGGCCCATTTCTAAAAGCAGGGACGTCCTTTTTTCCATTTCTATTCTATTATTTACCTGATTAGCAGTGTTCCGTCTGGTTGCTGAGTGTGTGCCTTCTGTGTAATGTGGTTAATTTAGGCCAGTCAATAACAGTGAGAGGACAATGGGAAGGTGTCAGGAAGGGAGTGGGTGGCAGGGCTCAGGTGGACTCCGGTCCCTGTCCCCATCACACACAGCTCAATGGAGAAGAGCAGAAGGAAGACTTCACACCAACCAGATCAGACATGCATGACTAATTCACCATCCTTTCTTTGCTCCTCCAGTGAACAATGCCAATAACCCCCCCACCTCCAAAACAAAACCAAATGTGAGGTTATGTGGTAAACACAGCTAGTGATCCACTGCAATAACTGTACACTAGTCAAAATAAGAACGCAAAGATAAAGATAATTCAATAGCCTGTATAAGTGAATGCCCAATCAATTACCACTGACTTAAGTAGTTTGAATTCTTCAGCACTCTGGAGAACAATATTTCACACCATCATTTCTTTTCAGCTCTCAGTGTGCAGCATTATCTGTGGAGCCCCTGGAAACTGCTCAGGGTGATAAAGAGCCAGAAGGAAGGCCCATCTGTCAGCAATTGAGCCGATGCAGAGGAGAGGCACAAACTGATTGTGTGTCAATTTTCTTTCAGGTACAACAGAGGTGTATTCATTCTGCCGATTCTGTTGCAAAACATTTCTTAAACCGAAGCAAATGGAACGAAACAGGGAGGGACCTACCTGAATTTGTCCAATAGAAATTTGTTTGGTCTGTTTGCTTCCGTTTGGTTCTTAAACAGTTTCCGTGATGAATACACCCCTGATGTTGGGCGAGATCGAACATTGCCACGGTTGCACAGCAACATCACAGACATCCCGCAATGTAGCCCTTATCTTCCCGTAGAGCATGCTCAGTGCACATACACACACTCACAGCGGGGCAACCTCCTCCAGACACCCACAGAGCAGAGAGAAACACGTTCCAACAACGCTGAGACACAAACAGCACCAGGAGAACAGAGCTACAGACATCACACTGAGAGGAGAGAAAGACTGGGGAGAGACAAAGAGAGAGAGGGAGAGTGAGAGAAGGGGAGTAGGCAAAGATAACTTAGAGAGAGAGAATATCCAGGGCAGGGTTATTTGGAACAGTGACAGTGGAATCTTTCTCTCATTTGGTGGCACATAAGGAGACCAGCTGGGTCCACTGTTCCACAAAGACACTCCTTGGCTAACCAAAACACAACAACAATCAATCAGACTGAACCAACCTTGAACCAGCATCTCACACTAAAATACTAATTATAAGACATGGAGATGGTGGACACTAGTAGATCACCAATGGGGTCCATAGTGGATTTGCTATAATGGCACAGCTCACTACTTATAGACTACCCATTACATAAACACAGAGGAGGGAGGGTGATAATGATAAGTTATCTATGTAAGTGGAATGGGGGGGAATTACTTTTAGGTGAAAGAAGGCTTAGTTAGTGAACCATAAAGTCATGATTAATATTGTCCTTTGGTTTCCTATTCTTTTGATTAATTTTCCCTGATTAGTGATTGTAGACTGGGATGTGGCCCCCAGATCACCCTGCTGGGATGTGGGCCCCAGATCGCCCTGCTGGGAGTTTCACAGTCAGGTCCCCCCACTGTTCTCCTTGTGATCACATTCACATTTCTGCTGATTGACTTGTTTTTAATTAACAGGCTTGTTAATGATGAGTCCACAAACACTGTACACCTGATGTGTCTGCTTTATATTCACTTTTAATTGCATGATCTGACATGGAGACTCCCCAACTAAATTATCTCTTTCTCGCCCTCTAATTATGTCCTTGAAATACCAATATTATTGAGTATAGTCTCAGATGTACATGCAAGAGGACATGATCGCAATATATGATTGTGTCATAATATATTCACATCATTAATACCAAAACAGAATATTTCCCACCATGCCAAATAATAGAAAAATACTTTTGTTCAAATATGATTAGAATTAAAGTTACCACTAAGTAATTACTAATATTGAAGGAACTATTGTGTATAATAAAAAGGCATACAATTTCACATTTCTTTCAATGTATAATAACTGGCCGCAACGGTTTATGTCTTGCCTTCTCAGTGGATTCCATTCATACAACTTTTTGGAAGCAACAAAAGTGCATGTTATTCATGCACTACTTAGTAGGCTATAAAATGTAGTCTAAATGCAACAATAAGCTAAATGAATGACACAGGTGGCACATTTGGTTGGCTATTCGTTAATGCGACAGAGAGCCTTGTTTTAACGCATGAATAAAATGACAAAAAAATGACCTCACCCGTGTTTCTTAATCCGTTGAGGGTGACTATTATTGCAATGGGAATTCAGTCATATATGGGAAGACAGATGTAGGCCGAGAAAGCGCACAGGACTGAAATTCCGTCTGTGTGGGGTCCGTTCACGGTCGGTGTGCTGATCGTCGGGATTCTATCTGGTTTATGAGGAGAGTCACTGGATGGAAGCGCGTAACCGTATGCGCGATCGTGCGGGGACTGATGTCAGCGTTTGTCCCATTAGGTGAGTCGCAAGAGAATAGGCTACCTGGGCGTGGGATGGGATACGTCAAATTTGTCGCAAATAATTATCAAGTTCGTGAATTATTTCTGAACGTTTCCCACATGCATTGGGAACTGAACATTGAAACAACATAATTTGTTTGACAAGCAATAAATTGTATTTAAATAAATTATTTTTGCAAGGAAAACTAAACAAGAAGCCTATACAGAATAGTTGAGTTGTACAATATTGTTACACAAGAACTGGCATCCGTGCATGTGCCAGTAGTAATGAAGGGGCAGAGGTACAGCATGTTATGGAGGAGGACTTCCTGCTTGGCACAGTGCATTATCAGCATATTACTCCCTGTCCCTTGCAAGAGCAGCGCGTGGTATTCTAGCTGGTATCAACTCCCCTCCCCTGAACTCCCCCAAATGCCATAAGTACCCCCCACCCCTCCAAAAACAAGCGAAATGGCATTAAAATATTCATATTTTAATTAAGTGACTGTCAAGAGAACAAAATACTTTCCCTAAATGTCTGTGCATCATGAACTCATAATGCAAATTAATTATATTGACCCACTTATTTCACATGTATATACAAAAATGATAATACAATATCGCAAAGTGAGTCCACAGGATAAGCAAAACGCCATGGAAACATTTGGACAGCAAGACCTCAACCCAAACAAACTTTTTGATTTCAGACACCTGGTTTGATAAATATAGTATGAATGAGTATCATCGGTAAGTAAATTAACCATCAAATTCTTTCAGCCACCTCCAATCACCCAGAGCATTACTTAATAAGAGCAGATATCTGTTATTGCCTTCGTTTAAACTATTTTAAGGATTGAAAGTTGGTCCCCTTTTACAGAACATTTGTGTAAATGATAGTGGTTAGCCTACTGTTTGACAACTTTAGTGTTTGTTGTTTGGAAGAAGACCTAATTTACTAAGGCTACCAATAGAATGATGATACAAAGATAGCTTAAACATTTGCAATAAAATTACCTGAAATACATGTTTTGAGTTTGACACAACACACTTTCAGAACGTCCATTGATTAACAAACAACATATTTCACATTTAATTTGGGTTGTTAGGTGGAACATATTTCACAGTAAAATACTGCCACCTTCTGGAATTTTAAGAACCTAATCATTTTAACCCCATCAATAAAGTGCTATTATCCACTCTGTTCAAACAAATTTCCTGAAGAAACATTTGAGCTTCTCAGGCAATGATCATCACACAATTATGTAAATCATCTCAATTCCCCTAGTGGCAGTGATGAAAGGAGGAAAATCTTGGATTCAAAGGAAGACAGGGAGCATGAAACCAAATAAAATACCATTTCATGTAGCCTATGGTAACAAACCTCCATGCATTCCCTGCACTTTTGAATGAGCTATGCTTTTTATCACTCCAACCTCAAGGCACATTTACCATATTTTTGTGATGCTTCTCCACAGATTGCTGTAATTACCCTGGTAGCACAGCACACACAAAGCATCTCTTCACCACTGAAAGGGACACGTTGTCATGGTAACCATTGGGATGCTGTGTGTAAACAGCAGGGTACAGATGATAACCTGTCTATAAATGCACAGTAGAGTATCTCACCAGCATTGACAGTCAATCTGCAAAGAGTGCACACCTCTACCACTGACAACCGTTGTCTGTTCTGATACCATAACTATAATTTAGGCTGTGATCTGCAAGAACACAACATGGTGCCAAGTATGGCTGTATATTCAAAAAATAAAGACATTTAAACATTCTGGTGTTTCAAAGCAATGTTATACTCGGCTTTGACATCCTTGCTAAAATAACCCACTAAGTTTTCAAATCAACCCAAGTCCACTGATTACCTTAACGCCTCCTTGTACAATCAGCATGTCAATCATCATGAGGTGGTCAAATCAACCCCATTACAGCCAACTGGACCTCTCCAACTAGTACCTCAACCAGTTCAACCTTTCCCATGATCATACTTCAAAAGAGAGTGATAAGATTATGAAGGCGTCACTGGAACATGATCCAGGGTGGTGGTTTTGTGGCCTGGTGGCACCTCATACTTGAAGACCACACTGAAGAGCTTGCCCCCCAGCCGGTCAGCCAGCCAGGAGTTCTTGATGACTGCCATCTTGAGGCTCTCGCAGCTCAACATGGCGTAGTAGTTGGTGTGGATGGCCCGGCCCATGCCTTCGATGATCACCAGGTCTGTGTGGCGCTCTCGCACAACCCCAGCCAACACCTTGTCCAGACGGCTGAGGTGGGGAGAGAAATTATCACACATCTACAGGATTTGCTTCAGGTTATATTTTTAAACATAGTTAAGAAAGGTAGGTTTCGTTGAAATAGAATTCATGCTTAGGAAATAAAACAGACCTTAAGTCTAAGCAAGGAGAGCTGGAGCCACTCTGGACTAGCGTCAGCCTGTCCTCCTTCACAGCAGACCTGCAAAACAAATGAAATGGACATTGACATGCTGGTATAGGAAAACAGAAATAAAAAAAACGATCATTACTATCCTATCTTTTACATCCATAATCCAGTCACAAATGCAGTGCCAAAAGACTGAAATACTCACTGTATGACTGAATCCATTGCAGCTATTCTTTCAGTCAATATCTGCAGCTCACTGTTTGTTACATCATTCAGAGCTGGGCTAGAGTTGCTGGCAAGGACAACCTGGAAAACAGCATAGCAGGGGGTCAAAGGAAGAAAAAAGGAAATCTTGCTGCGTTCATGTTGTTTTATTAAACCCTGTGTGTATTTGAAGGGGTGATGAAAGTGACAGCTTTTCAGATATGAGGGGATGGACGGTGTGGCTCCTTACCTCTGTTCCCCTGCAGAGAAGCTCTCTGACAAATGGGAACACTCCAAGTATGATGTCTATTCCACTATTATCTACGAAAAACAATGCACACTTATGAGGTGGGCCCTGCAAAAGAAAACCAGCAGGCATGGTATTCAATTACTGTTCCACAGCATCAAGTCATTTACATCTTTGGGCAAAATCCTAACTTGAGATCCAGGCACACAACTTCTGTGGATCTCAAGTTAGGATGTGGTCCATAAACCGAATGCAGCTAATATAAATCACATTGAAACACTACAACTTCAGGAAACAGTTTAATTCCTTACCTTCAGTCTCTCGAGCCATTGGTCATAGGCGTCGACAAGCCACGGCCGCTCTATGGAGAAAAAGGGACTGTCATTATGTAGCCTGTATAGTTTGCAGCAGCAGAATAAAATGCAGGATCAATATAAACAAATGTTTTCCCAGTCAATAAGGGCGTTCATACCTTCCAACTGCAGTTTTGCATGTTCAAACCCAAACTCCGGATCAGACTCCAGAACACTATTACAAGTGAAAATGTGAGCATGAGCGAGTCTTTGTTAATCTAAAATGCAATTTTTCTCAAGAATGAACAAATACACACACACATATATACATATATATGTATATACATATACATACATACAGTACCAGTCAAAAGTTTGGACACACCTTCTCATTCAAGGGTTTTTCTTTATCTTTACTATTTTCTACATTGTAGAATAATAGTGATGACATCAAAACTATGAAATACAGTGAGGGAAAAAAGTATTTGATCCCCTGCTGATTTTGTACGTTTGCCCAATGACAAAGAAATGATCAGTCTATCATTTTAATGGTAGGTTTATTTGAACAGTGAGAGACAAAATAACAACAAAAAATCCAGAAAAACGCATGTCAAAAATGTTAAATTGATTAGCATTTTAATTAGGGAAATAAGTATTTGACACCCTCTCAATCAGAAAGATTTCTGGCTCCCAGGTGTCTTTTATACAGGTAACGAGCTGAGATTAGGAACACACTCTTAAAGGGAGTGCTCCTAATCTCAGTTTGTTACCGGTATAAAATACACCTGTCCACAGAAGCAATCAATCAGATTCCAAACTCTCCACCATGGCCAAGACCAAAGAGCTCTCCAAGGATGTCAGGGACAAGATTGTAGACCTACACAAGGCTGGAATGGGCTACAAGACCATCGCCAAGCAGCTTGGTGAGAAGGTGACAACAGTTGGTGCGATTATTCGCAAATGGAAGAAACACAAAATAACTGTCAATCTCCCTCGGCCTAGGGCTCCATGCAAGATCTCACCTCGTGGAGTTTTAATGATCATGAGAACGGTGAGGTATCAGCCCAGAACTACACGGGAGGATCTTGTCAAGGATCTCAAGGCAGCTGGGACCAGTCACCAAGAAAACAATTGGTAACACACTACGCCGTGAAGGACTGAACTCCTGCAGCGCCCGCAAGGTCCCCCTGCTCAAGAAAGCACATATACAGGCCCGTCTGAAGTTTGCCAATGAACATCTGAATGATTCAGAGGAGAACTGGGTGAAAGTGTTGTGGTCAGATGAGACCAAAATCGAGCTCTTTGGCATCAACTCAACTCGCCGTGTTTGGAGGAGGACTGCTGCCTATGACACCAAGAACACCATCCCCACCGTCAGACATGGGAGGTGGAAACATTATGCTTTGGGGGTGTTTTTCTGCTAAGGGGACAAGACAACTTCACCGCATCAAAGGGACGATGGACGGGGCCATATACCGTCAAATCTTGGGTGAGAACCTCCTTCCCTCAGCCAGGGCATTGAAAATGGGTCGTGGATGGGTATTCCAGCATGACAATGACCCAAAACACACGGCCAAGGCAACAAAGGAGTGGCTGAAGAAGAAGCACATTAAGGTCCTGGTGGCCTAGCCAGTCTCCAGACCTTAATCCCATAGAAAATCTGTGGCGGGAGCTGAAGGTTCGAGTTGCCAAACGTCAGCCTCGAAACCTTAATGACTTGGAGAAGATCTGCAAAGAGGAGTGGGACAAAATCCCTTTTGAGATGTGTGCAAACCTGGTGGCCAACTACAAGAAACGTCTGACCTCTGTGATTGCCAAAAACGGGTTTTGCCACCAAGTACTAAGTCTTTTGCAAAGGGGTCAAATACTTATTTCCCTCATTAAAATGCAAATAACATTTAACATTTTAGTCATTTAGCAGACGCTCTTATCCAGAGCGACTTACAGGAGCAATTAGGGTTAAGTGCCTTGCTTAAGGGCACATCGACAGATTTTTCACCTAGTCGGCTCGGGGATTAGAACCAGCGACCTTTCGGTTACTGGCACAACGCTCTTACCCACTAAGCTACCTGCCGCCCTAAATCAATGTATAAAATGTTTGACATGCGTTGTTCTGGATTTTTTGGTTGTTATTCTGTCTCTCACTGTTCAAATAAATCTAACATTAAATGTATAGACTGATCATGTCTTTGTCAGTGGGCAAACGTACAAAATCAGCAGGGGATCAAATACTTTTTTCCCCTCACTGTATGGAATCATGTAGTAAACAAAAAAAAGTGTTACACAAATCATAATATATTTCATATTTGAGATTCTTCAAATAGCCACCCTTTGCCTTGATGACAGCTTTGCACTCTTGGCATTCTAATCAACCAGGTTCACCTGGAATGCTTTTCCAACAGTCTTGAAGGAGTTCCCACATATGCTGAGCACTTGTTGGCTGCTTTTCCTTCACTCTGCGGTCCGACTCATCCCAAACCATCTCAATTGGGTTGAGTTCGGGGGATTGTGGAAGCCAGGTCATCTGATGCAGCACTCCATCACTCTCCTTCTTGGTAAAATAGCCCTTACACAGCCTGGAGGTGTGTCGGGTCATTGTCCTGTTGAAAAACAAATGATAGTCCCACTAAGCCCAAACCAGATGGGTTGGCGTATCGCTGCAGACCGCTATGGTACCCATTCTGGTTAAGTGTGCCTTGAATTCTAAATAAATCACAGTGTCACCAGCAAAGCACCCCCACACCATAACACCTCGTTCTCCATGCTTTACGGTGGGAACTACACATGCGGAGATCATCCGTTCACCCACACCAAGTCTAACAAAGACACGGCGGTTGGAACCAAAAATCTCCAATTTGGACTCCAGATCAAAGGACACATTTCCACCGGTCTAATATCCACTGCTCGTGTTTCTTGACCCAAGCAGGTCTCTTTCTTATTGGTGTCCTTTAGTAGTGGTTTCTTTGCAGCAATTCGACCATGAAGGCCTGATTCACACAGTCCCCTCTGAACAGTTGGTTGAGATGTGTCTGTTACTTGAACTCTGTGAAGCATTTATTTGGGCTGCAATTTCTGAGGCTGGTAACTCTAATGAACTTATCCTCTGCAGCAGAGGTAACTCTGGGTCTTCCATTCCTGTGGCGGTCGGTCCTCATGAGAGCCAGTTTCAAAGCGCTTGATGATTTTGGCGACTGCACTTTAAGAAACGTTCAATGTTCTTGAAATGTTTCGTATTGACTGACCTTCATGTCTTAAATTAATGATGGACTGTCATTTCTCTTTGCTTATTTGAGCTGCTCTTACCATAATATGGACTTGGTCTTTTACCAAATAGGGCTATCTTCTGTATACCCCCCCTACCTTGTCACAACACAACTGATTGGCTCAAACGCATTAAGAAGGAAAGAAATTCAACAAATGCACTTTTAACAAGGCACACCTGTTAATTGAAATGCATTCCAGGTGACTACCTCATGAAGCTGCTTGAGAATGCTAAGAGTATGCAAAGCTGTCATCAAGGCAAAGGGTGGCTATTTGAAGAATCTCAAATATAAAATATATTTAGATTTGTTTTAACACTTTTTTGGTTACTACATGATTCCATATGTGTTATTTCATAGTTTTGAGGTCTTCACTATTATTATACAATGTAGACAATATTACAAATAAAAGAAAAACCCTTGAATGAGTAGGTGTTCTAAAACTTTTGACCGGTAGTGTGTGTTTTCAGGTCTCTCCAGAGATGTTCGATCGGGTTGAAGTCCGGGCTCTGACTGGACGACTCTAGGACATTCAGAGACTTGTCCCGAAGCCACTCCTGCGTTGTCTTGGCTGTGTGCATAGGGTCGTTGTCCTGTTGGAAGGTGAACCTTCGCCCCAGTCTGAGGTCCTGAGCGCTCTGGACCAGGTTGTCATCAAGGATCTCTGTACTTTGCTCTGTTCATCTTTCCCTCGATCCTGACTAGTCTTCCCAGTCCCTGCCGCTGAAAAATATCCTCACAACATGCTGCCACCACCATGCTTCACCGTAGGGATGGAGCCAGGTTTCCTCCAGACGTGACACTTGGCATTCAGGCCAAAGAGTTCAATCTTGGTTTCATCAGACCAGAGAATCTTATTTCTCATGGTCTGAGAGTCCTTTAGGTGCCTTTTGGCAAACTCCAACTGGGCTGTCATGTGCATTTTACTGAGGAGTGGCTTCTGTCTGGCCACTATACCATAAAGGCCTGATTGGTTGAGTGCTGCAGAGATGGTTGTCCTTCTGGAAGGTTCTCTCATCTCCACAGAAGAACTCTGGAGCTCTGTCAGAGTGACCATCGGGTTCTTGGTCACCTCCCTGAACAAGGCCCTTCTCCCCCAGCTCTAGGAAGAGTCTTGGTTTTAAACTTCCTCCATTTCAGAATGATGGAGGCCACTGTGTTCTTGGGGACCTTCAATGCTGCAGACATTTTTTGGTACCCTTCACCAGATCTGTGCCGACACAATCCTGTCTCGGAGCTCTTCAGACAACTGCTTCTACCTCATGGCTTGGTTTTTGCTCTGACATGCACTATAACCTGTGGGACCTTATATAACCAGGTGTGTGCCTTTCCAAATGATGTCCAATCAATTGAATATTTTTTATAAAAGTTTTATTTATTTAACCTTTATTTAACTAGGCAAGTCAGTTAAGAACAAATTCTTATTTACAATGAAGGCCTACCAAAAGGCCTCCTGCAGGGACGGGGGCTGGGATTTAAAATAAAAATATAGTCCTGTGTAGCTCAGTTGGTAGAGCATGGCGTTTGCAACGCCAGGGTTGTGGGTTCGTTTCCCACGGGGGACCAGTATGAAAAATAAAATGTATGCACTCACTAACTAAGTCGCTCTGGATAAGAGCGTCTGCTAAATGACAAAAAAAATAAAAATAAAAAAATAAATAAAAAATCACCACAAGAGAGTCAATACTACATAAACAGAGACCTAAGACAACACAGCATGGTAGCAACACCAAATGACAACATGGTAGCAACACAAAACATGGTACAAACATTATTGGGCACAGACAACAGCAAAGGCAAGAAATAGAGACAACAATAAATCACGCGAAGCAGCCACAACTGTCAGTAAGAGTGTCCATGATTGAGTCTTTGAATGAAGAGACGGAGATAAAACTGTCCAGTTTGAGTGTTGTTTGCAGCTCGTTCCAGTAGCTAGCTACAGCGAACTGGAAAGAGGAGCGACCCAGGGATGCGTGTGCTTTGAGGACCTTTAACAGAATGTGACTGGCAGAACGGGTGTTGTATGTGGAGGATGAGGGCTGCAGTAGGTATCTCAGATAGGGGGGAGTGAGGCCTAATAGAGTTTTATAAGTAAACATCAACCAGTGGGTCTTGCGACGAGTATACAGAGAATACCAGTTTACAGAGGAGTATAGAGTGCAGTGATGTGTCCTATAAGGAGCATTGGTGGCAAATCTGATGGCCGACTGGTAAAGAACATCTAGCCGCTCAAGAGCACCCTTAGCTGCCGATCTACAAATTAGATCTCTGTAATCTAGCATGGGTAGGATGGTCATCTGAATCAGGGTTAGTTTGGCAGCTGGGGTGAAAGAGGAGCGATTACGATAGAGGAAACCAAGTCTAGATTTAACCTTAGCCTGCAGCTTTGATATGTGCTGAGAGAAGGACAGTGTACCATCTAGCCATACTCCCAAGTACTTGTATGAGGTGACAACCTCAAGCTCTAAACCCTCAGAGGTAGTAATTACACCGGTGGGGAGAGGGGCATTCTTCTTACCAAACCACATTACCTTTGTTTTGGAGGTTCTGAACAAGGTTAAGGGCAGAGAAAGCTTGTTGGACACTAAGAAAGCTTTGTTGTAGAGCGTTTAACACAAAATCCGGGGAGGGGCCAGCTGAGTATAAGACTATCATCTGCATATAAATGGATGGGAGAGCTTCCTACTGCGTGAGCTATGTTGTTGATGTAAATTGAGAAAAGTGTGGGGCCTAGGATCGAGCCTTGGGGTACTCCCTTGGTGACAGGCAGTGGCTGAGACAGCAGATGTTCTGACTTTATACACTGCACTCTTTGAGAGAGGTAGTTAGCAAACCAGGCCAAAGACCCCTCAGACACCAATACTCCTTAGCCAGCCCACAAGAATGGAATGGTTTACCGTATCAAAAGCTTTGGCCAAGTCAATAAAAATAGCAGCACAACAAAGTTCAGAGATAGGCTTGGCAACGATAGGGGCTGCAATCTTAAGGAAGAAAGGATCTAAACCATCTGACCCAGATGGTTTTTTGGGGTCAAGTTTAAGGAGCTCCTTTAGCACCTCAGACTCAGTGACTGCCTGCAGGGAGAAACTTTGTAGCGGGGCAGGGGAAAAAGAGGGAGGAGCGTCGGGGCTAGTCGCATTAGAAGGGGTGGCAGATGAGGAAATGTTGTACGGGCAATGATGCATGGCTGAGTCAAAAAGGAATCCTGACTTAATGAAGGTGATTAAAGAGCTCAGCCATGTGCTCGCTGTCAGTAACAACCACATCATCAACATTAAGGGACATGAGCAGCTGTGAGGAGGAGGGTTTATTCTCCAGGTCTTTAACTGTTTCCAGAACTTCTTGGGGTTAGACCCACAGAGAGAGAACTGCTCCTTAAAGTAACTAACTTTTGACCTTCCGGATAGCCCGAGTGCACTTATTTCTCATTTGCCTGAACGAGAGCCAGTCAGCCTGAGTATGCGTGTGCCGAGCCTTTCGCCAAATGGAATTCTTGAGGTGGAGTAACTCTGCCAGATCACGGTCGAACCAGGGGCTGAACCTGTTTTAATTCTCATTTTCTTTATGGGGGCGTGTTTGTTAACAATAACACTGAAAATATCGAAAAAGAAGGTCCAAGTGTTTTCGACAGAGGGGATCAAGCTGATTCTATACCAATTTACAGAGGCCAGGTCATGAAGGAAGGCTTGCTCATTAAAGGTTTTTTAGCAAGCGTCTATGACAAATCAGGACAGGTCGTTTCCCTGAGCAGCCATTATGAATACAGTCTGTAAAACAGTGATCACTAAGGTCATTACAGAACACACCAGACTGATACCTATCAGGATTATTTGTGAGCATAACATCAAGGAGAGTAGCCTTTTCTGGGTGTTTGGAGTCATACCTTGTGGGATTGGTAATAACCTGAGAAAGATGTAGGGAGTCCCATTGCTTTAGGACTTGGTCAGGTGGTTTAAACATGTCCCCGTTTAGGTCACCTAGCAGGACAAATTCAGACTTAGTGTAAGGGGCCAGGAGATAGCTTAGGTAGGGTACAGACCGGTGCTGAAGGTGGACGATAACACCCAGCAACAGAGCTACTTGAAAGTTTAATGCTTAAAACCAGCAAATCAAATTGTTTGGGGACAGACTTGGTGGAGACAACAGAGCACTGAAGGTGTTCCTTGGTAAAGATTGCCACTCCACCACCTTTGGAAGATCTGTCTTGCCAAGACAATGTTATAACCAGGAAGGTTAACATCGGTGTTCAAAACACTCTCTTAACCAGGTCTCAGTAATGACCAACACATCTGGATTGGAGCTGTGAACCCACACTTTCAATTGATCAATTTGAGGTAATAAGCTTCTAGTGTTAACGTACAGAAAACCCAGGCTTTTACGAGAGCAGAAATCAGTGAAACAGATATCAGAGCACAAGTCAGAATTGGGGCTAGCAACAGTAGATGGCTCGGCTGTACATGCACATTTCCAGATATCATTAGCAGTAATACAATCAGGGCACGGCAGAGGACAGAGAGAGCTCTGCGGTGTTGATTTTCTATGTCATTTGAATGTGCATCAGATGGCAAAAATATCATTTGTACAGCAATTTCATCAGTTAACATGAATACAAAGCCGGCGAGAGTTGGTTAGAATAGGATGGGAGGCCAATGTAACCAATAGAGAGTCAGAGTCCCGAGTGTGGGAACAAACAGTCTGTCCCACGGTTGGGTAAACAAGCAAGTTAATACTCAACAAAGCACGCAGGAGTCATGAGGCAAATAGCATAAAGCACAAGAAAAAATATATAACGACTTGGGGCTAACCATTGTAAGTTCAAAGAGTCACTCGCCCAAACAAGATAACTTGAGAGAGCAGCTCTCGAGGAGTCCAGTAGGCTATAAAAGTATGAGATAAAATAAATAACGAGTAGGCCTATACTAGTTAATTAAAGCGTTTGAGTAATTTCACAAGTTAATTAGCCTACCTAAAATTCCAATCAGTCCAAAGACTGCGGTGTGTGTAAGTGTGTGCTGGAGGCGAGCGAAAGCTCAGGAGAGAGGGGGGAAGTGTGGCGGGGGTACCTGTACCAGACAGGGGGAGACAGGCCAGGGCAGACTGGGAACAGATTGCCAGGTGGAATCCAAGCAGCAGTGCAGCAGGCAACGGGAGTAGGTGTCACACCCGGTTGCAAGAAGCTTTTTTCGGGAGGCAGAATCCTTGTGGAAAATCCCAGCTAGCTAGCTAGCTAACGTAGCTAGCAAGTCTCTGTCCACCGTTTTTTTTCCCACGTGCAAGAGGAGGTCATTAGCAAGCTATATCTCTTCAGTTTCGGCAAATGGTCCTTTACGACGTCCAAACAAAGTTTTCCTGTGGCCACAGGTGGACTGCAATCAATTAGAGAGCTCCGAGACAGGATTGTGTCGAGGCACAGATCTGGGGAATGGTACCAACAAATGTCTGCAGCATTGAAGGTCAAAGGTTCACCTTCCAACAGGACAACGACCCTAAGCACACAGCAAAGACAACGCAGGAGTGGCTTCGGGACAAGTCTCTAAATGTTCTTGAGTGGCCCAGCCAGAGCCCAGACTTGAACCCGATCGGATTTCTCTGGAGAGACCTGAAAAAAAGCTGTGCAGCGACGCTCCCCATCCAACTTGACAGAGCTTGAGAGGATCAGCAGAAATGAATGGAAGAAACTCCCCAAATACAGTTGTGCCAAGCTTGTAGCGTCATACCAAAGAAGACTCGAGGCTGTAATCGCTGCCAAAGGTGCTTCAACAAAGTACTGAGTAAAGGGTCTGAATACTTATGTAAATGTAATTTCAGTTTTTTTTTTTTACTACATTTGCTAAAATGTCTAAAAACCTGTTTTTGCTTTGTCATTATGGGGTATTGTGTGTAGATTGGTGAGAAAAAAAATAACAATTTAATCCATTTTAGAATAAGGCTGTAACGTAACAAAATGTGGAAAAAGTCAAGGGGTCTGAATACTTTCCAAATGCACTGTCTATGACCAGAATTTTTGTCCTAATAATATCCTTCAAAGTCCCAAGTTTAGGAGTGCACAGAGTGCAGCCTCATTAAGACTCACTCCGAAACAGCCTTGGCTCCCCAGTCGAAAACGTTCCCAGCCAGGAGGCCCCTGACCAGGGCAAACTGCCTCTGCTCCCAGCTCAGTTCCTCCAGGGACTTGACTGCCTTCTGGAAGTACTTGAGGGCCATGTCGTTCTCCCCCTGCTTGATCTGTGGGAGGGATGGAGACACAGCACTGAGACAGCAGCTTCCTCCCACTTCTCACTGATGACCTACCACATTAGCAAATCATGCTAAACAAGGCAAGTGGACATGAAATTACATTAAAAGACACACAAGACCACACTTGTAAGCTTCATCGGATAACTACTTAAGCAAGTCCAGAAAAAGAGTAGCACTAGAACATTTACTGGAACCGTGAACAACGAGAGAGAAAAAAAGAGAGTTATAGGAAAGAGCTATAGAATCTACTCAAACCTTAGAGTAGGGGTCAGGGAAGTTGAACTCGTTTAAACAGTGTTCTCTTGTGTCTAACAGACTTCTGACAGTGAGGGATCCATAAGCACTAGAGGTGAGAAGAGAAGTACTCTACATTAGCAGATAAACGCATACAGATTGCAGAGGGAACAGTGAGACTCTTCATCTATAAGAGTCAATCTCATCCACTACTAGGATGCCTTTGGAGATATGCATCTATGAATAATCAAGAAACAGTGTTATGCTCTAGTTGGTCTAACAGCCTTTGAAAGCAATCTGCAGCAGTGGCATTTAGATCCTGGGGCTCCCCTTACAAAGGCTGGTGACGGAGGGTCTGAAGCTTGTGCTGGTACTTGTGACGGAACTTCTCTGCTCGTTCTATGGCCTCTGGAAGATCAGGCTGGCTGGCAACAGCTCTCTTCACCACCTATCCAAAGCACATCACCCAGATCAGCCGTTTCAAAAGTGACCAGGACAAGGACTCCCTGTCAATGCATCATGCAATGTGTGCATATTGATGAATAGACCAATGGCAGGTGCTCTGCCTCTTACCCCATCCAGGGCCTCCTCGAAGCAGTAGAGCCAGTACTCCCGTGCGAGGGCGTCCTCTGAGAGGTCCACTGTGTCTGGGATGTAGGAGGACGGGTCCTGCAGCAGGGGCAGGTTCACCAGCTGCCTCTCCAGACGGTCCATCTCCAACATGTCAAACTGGAGCCGGAGAGGAGACACACTGAGCACTGTACATACTGCTAGGCTAATGCACTCATGCACACTTAGATGGGTTGCCTGACAACGTCACAAAAATGATGTGCGCGCATCGCAGGGGTAAAAGGCTGTGTGTTGTTATGATTCTGAACGGTCAGATAGCTAGCAACAATGACAAGAAGCTGCTTTGTGGGGAATCGTAGGTGGCTCGTTTCAGCCAGTTGTATCTTGTTCTTGATACCATGTCTTGTTTTGAGGTGTTTTGACTAATGTCACGTCTATGCTAATATGGCTAAAATCCTTTAGTTAGCTAACCAACAACTGTAACGATGTATTTGAGAGACAAGTGCTTATTGTGCACATATATGTTTTCAATAAATATTTGGAGCCTAAATATAGTTTACATGTTGTCAATAATCCTTTGAATATAAGCCAACCCAGTCTGTTTTGCCCCAAAGTTGTGCACGCATCGGTGTTGTCGCTAAACAACCCCTCCAAAGTGAAACCAAAGCAACACGACTCCTTCAAACATAGATATTTCCCTAAATCTGTTTTCAGTATGCCCCCTAGTGTTCAGTGAGCTGAGCTGACAATAGCAGTCGACACACGCATCAAAGTTCAGAAATATAGTATACCAACTCCTCACACCAGTCACATCCGTGCAGTGAGTATGATTTCATGTACAATTTCTAAGGTGAACAGACCTTACTATTCTCCCAGTGTCACACAGGTTGGTTGACTATAAGGTTGGTTTTAACATGTTAGAACACAATTCAAAACATGACTACATAAAGCAACACTTAAAAGGCTGTTAAGCAATAAATATGTGAAAGGAAAAGGCTGGCATATAGCAGTTACAATGCCACAGCTGTCTCTCTGAAACTTTATTTAACCCAATGTGAATGTGAATGCTTGGGCAGGTGTGTAGCTACAAAGCCAGAAGCATGAGGAAACATATAGCCCTAATCAAACCACTACACACAGAGCATGGGAAAGTACTTACGGAAAACTGAAGGTAAGGGTTACAGTAGGTAAACAGAGGTAAGAGATTGTTGATATGAAGAGAAGAGATTAAAACAATAAAATGTTAGATTGAAAAGATCAACGAAGGATGTTGTCATACCAGGCTTGTGGATTTTAAAAGGACAGCATTGGTGACATTTCCACAGAAAATATCAAATCCACAATCATCTCAGAAAGAGGGTGGGGGGAATTGCTAAAATGGCCAATGAAATGACACCAAAATTAAATAACACGTGGGTTATGAGTGCACCTTGGTGGTCACAAACTGACCTTACAGTATTATAATATTTTCTTTTCCAATGGACTTACTGTTCCACTGCGTGCACGTTGCATGGGGTTCAGGTCAGGAGAAGTACTCATCAGGCCAGAGCTCCCAGCATAGTTCTCCCCCCAACTGTACTGGTTAGGATCTAGATAATGTGAAAAAATAATAACAGTGAATTAGACTCAAAAGAACTTCCCATCAACAGGAAAATCCTTACAAAACCTAGGGTGTGATAAGGTATGGATTCCTGTGCCACATTATGTCATGAAGAAACCCCATAGAGGAAAGCATTTGAAAGCATATTGACCTACTGTCTTCCTCTGCTCCCTTAAGGAAGGCTCCAATAGTCCCCAGATAGCCTTCATGCCTCAGGAAGAGTGCCTGGACTGCACCCTGCAAAAGCACAATATACATATCCACTCCAATGGAACCATTTCTAACTCTAATTACACTCACAGATTGTATCATTTAAAAGTAGCCTATGGACACAATAAAATCAAACCTGTCATATCAATGTTTATGTATTATCTTTTAACTGCCCACTAGGGATGGGCACGGTTAATCGAATATCTGGATATCCGAACGGACGTTACTATTCGAAACCTTGAGTATTCATTTTTTTGGATATTTTGTTGTGTGCCTATTTTAACAATGAAAAAGCTCTCTCTAAATTAAATTGTCCATGTTACATTGTTACACACAAGGACATGACATTTGAAATGCTTAATTTAATTAAACAAACTTTTTTAAATGTAGTGTTTATGTACAGCTACTGCTGCTTCAGATGTCACGTGGCTTTGACAGAACATTGTTTACAGTGGCGCACTGTAATTGTAGCCTCCAGTTCTGAGGACACACATTGGCTGCGATTACACAGGCAGCCCAATTCTTATCTTTTTTTTCACTGATTGGTATTTTGACCAATCAGATCAGCTTGGAAAAAGAGCTGATGTGAAAAGATCTGTCATTGGAAAAAAATATCAGAATTGGGCTGCCTGTGTGACAGTTTTATTTTCAATTTTCTCATTCTATAGGTTGCGTTTTACATGAAAAGGCATTTTACCATCATAGCCCTCCAGTCAGCCCTGACAAGGGTATGCCATTTCCCCCACTTCAAATAGCGACTAGCCTACAGATGAACACCAACAGAGGGTCCACAAGACCTGACACAGATCAATGCAAAACACTCACCAGAAAACTTTTTTAAATGCAGAATTTATATGGATGGCTAAAATCAGACTTCTCTTCCACTGTTGCCGTTAGCCTAGGCTACTGTTAGCAAAAAACGAATAGCACCGTGAAAACAAGTGTTCAGTCTGCTGTTGTAGCATTTTGAGTCATTCTGATTGGTCAAGAAAGTAGAGCAATTTATCTCACAGGAAAAAGGGTATATTTGCATAGTACTGTGTAAATACTGCAGTTCACATTTGATTGCTGCTTTCAAGCTCTGAACTAGGCACAAGGGACATATCCCTGAATTTAGTCAGTTGCCATCAGATTCAGCTCTGTCAGTGCTAAATCTAGAGCTCAATCAAATGTACCTGGATTGAGAAAGACATGCTTGTTAAGAAGGTACATGGGGGGGGCTTGCCTTAGTGAAGAAGTTGATGCTGTAAGTGATGGTGTGCATAGTGACAGGGTGTCCTCGGATGAAGAAGCCCCCGAAGTATACCCTGGTCAGGTTGTGGAGCCGAGCATAGAGGCAGGCCAGCTGCCCAATGTCATTGCTGATCATATGGAGCAGACTCTTAGCCATGTCTTCTTTAGAGAACTCTGATTCAGGAGGAGACAAAAGTAAAGGTATGTTAACATACAGCCAAGTGAAGCACCAGAAACATAACTAGTCAACAAGCCCAGGTCCCATTGAAGTACGTACAGTGTTGGTTTACGTATTGGCAGTTTGTGACAGGTATTATTGGCACTACATGATAAACATGAACGATCTAATAGAGTGAGTGAATTAGTGGCTTTCTTTGCCATGGCTGGCTGACTCGTCTACATTTCTCAATTGTAACAACAACCAACCAGCCTATAAGGGACAAGGTCTCAGCAACTGGGTAAGAGGTCATCAATCAGTTAGTGCTCAAGAGGAATGTAGCCTACATTACAGTAGATAGCATGCCAGGGAGTCTGCTCCTGAAGACGGTGTCATGAAAAACATGTTATGGGGCAAAGAGTAAAAGTACTACAAGTGCTCTGCTCTCTCTTTACCTTTGTCAGGAGTAGCAGATTTTCCAAAGCTGCTTGCAATAAGGTCCCCAGTCAAGCCCAAGGACCCATAAGATCCCCCGTAGATGTCTTTGACAAGCATGTCAACATTTGTGTGCTGCCCCTTCGAGGCCAACTGAAGTAGTTCATCAAACCTCTGTAGGAGGGGCGAGCAGGTCATGGGAGTACAGTAATTTTAAAAAGAGCCCTTTCACCCAGATAGCCTAACTATTTTGTAACCACCCTATTCAGAACAAGAGTTAAGTACAGAGGCCAGTCTTCCAGATAATAAAAAGTTGCAGTATGGTCAACTGGCAAGATAATAGGCAAGAACAAACAGAAAATAAAAATGTTAATTCATTTGAGTAGCCTGACCATTTAAAAAGCCTATTGGGCTTGAAGTCTCAGCATGGGGGTGAGGAGGGGTTTTACCTTTGTTTTTGTGAGCAGAGCTCCAAGGCCCCAGAATGTCCCCCCACCTATGGAGCTTCCTCCAACACGCTCAAATGTATCCTCTGATTCAACCTTTGGAGAGAAAGATTGTTTGTTGAAGTAATGGGTACGTCTACATAGGGCACATGTCACACCAGATCTGGAGTTGTGTCAGACATTGGTACCTTGAAAATGGACACCCCTGAGCCAATGTTGATGAGCAGGTAAGGGAAGATGTCAGGGTGAGTGTTCTGGAAGCGGAACTCAGAGTCTGCATGCTTGGCATAGACAAAGGCCTCGTGGGTGATGTTCCTCAGCACAAAGTTGCAGCCCTTGATCAGGCATGTCATTTCATCCTCCTTGTCCACCCTAGTCAAAACATAAAGAGTAGCTACATTATAATAAGCAAAACCTGTTTGTTTTAGGTTAACAATATTCAATTTCTCACCTGAGTTTCAGTTTCTTCTCTATGAGATCTTTAAACTTGTGAGCCCCTCCACCGGTGGCTTTGATGACTTTGGTGTCAGTGTTGACCAGGTGGTCTTTGATAAAGTCCAGGCAGGTTTCGATGTAGGCATTTTCAAACTTGATGAAGTGAAGGCGAGCCGAGACCTCCTCCTGCATAGAGATCTCATAGAGGGGGTCACCCTCAGTCTCCTGGTAGAGGGAGACACAGTTAAGGGACCAGGTCAGCACTGCAGAACTGAGACCACCAGGGCAACCTGAGTGGGCTCAGTAAGACCTTTAAGTCAACACCTTCACTGTCCCAAGGTACAAACCTTTTTGATGGCCTAGATCATGAATCAGTAGCCTATATGTCTAACACAAAACCCACACTGGAGCAATCCCCTATTGGCTACTCTCCAACTAACACAAGCTTGATTAGTTTACTTTTCTGTAGCTACATTCACACATTTTTATCAGGTAGACCCATTGGAGACCTCTGACAAGAAACACAGTTCAATCTGCTGAGATATATAGGCCCAACTCTTCTGGCAGGAGTCCTCCAGGCCTAAACACTGTAATAACACTTCATAGCAGAGCACTTTGGCAGCAAATCCCTTTAGCACCTCAATTGAGCACTGACATTTGATGTTATTGTTGCTGAGTAAATGGCTTAAATAGCACACAACACGTTAGGCAAAAGTCTGTCCTCCGTCCTCTCTCCTCCGCCCTCAGTGACCGGGAAACCGATAAGTGGTCAAGTGATGTGTCAATTCGTTAGTAGCAAACGTAAGATGGTCCTCCCCTCCTCGATAGCCTCCTTTTGGCGAGGATGCGCAAGAGTATCTAGCTCTAGAAAACTCTATGCGGCATTCTGCCTTCTCCCTAAAGTTTTCAGCGATTAGCGTCGCCAACGACTGACTTGTGATCAACAATCCCGACACTGTGTTTTAACGTTTAGAAATGTAAATAATCATCGCTTGCGATACGGCTTTCAAAACATATGGCCCTTTTCTTTTATCAGCGAGAAAAAAAACATCTCAAATATAAAATATTTTGATTTGTTTAACACTTTGATTACTACACGATTCCATGTGTTATTTCATAGTTTTGATGTCTTCACTATCATTCTAAAATGTAGAAAATAGTATAAATAAAGAAAAACACTGGAATGAGTAGGTGTGTCCAAACTTTTAACTGGTACTGTATTTAAACGTATAATTAATACAAGCGCATTTTCACTAACTTTCCCTCTCTTCGATTACCTTTGACCTTTTTCAAAAGGAAAACAGGATGGAGGAGAGAGGATGCAGGAGTTGAGCAAATCTAAAAGGGAAAAGGTAACCCTCTTATATACTGCATGTCCTCTGCTTAATTGGGCCTCAGCGCTGCAACCTGGTCTCAGAGCATTTAGTATTATTCTGTACAGTTGCTTGCGAAAGTATTCACCCCCCTTGGCATTTTTCCTATTTTGTTGCCTTACAACCAATAATTAAAATTGATTTTGGGGGGGGGGTTCTTCAAGGCAAAACTGCTCCAGCTCCTTCAAGTTGGATGGGTTCCGCTGGTGTACAGCAATCTTTAAGTCATACCACAGATTCTTAATTGGATTGAGGTCTAGGCTTTGACTAGGCCATTCCAAGATATTTAAATGTTTCCCAATAAACCACTCAAGTGTTGCTTTAACAGTATGCTTAGGGTCATTGTCCTGCTGGATGGTGAACCTTTGTCACAGTCTCAAATCTCTGGAAGACAAACAGGTTTCCCTCAAGAATTTCCCTGTATTTAGTGCCATCCATCATTCATTCAATTCTGACCAGTTTCCCACTCCCTGACAATGAAAAACATCCCCACAGCATGATGCTGCCACCACCATGCTTCACTGTGGGGATGGTGTTCTCGGGGTGATGAGAGGTGTTGGGTTTGCGCCAGACATAGCGTTTTCCTTGATGGCCAGAGTAGCTTCTTCCATATATTTGAGGAGTCTCCCACATGGCTTTTGGTGAACACCAAACGTGTTTGCTTATTTTTTTCTTTAAGCAATGGCTTTTTTCTGGCCACTCTTCCGTAAAGCCCAGCTCTGTGGAGTGTACGGCTGAAAGTGGTCCTATGGACAGATACTCCAATCTCCGCTGTGGAGCTTTGCAGCTCCTTCAGGTTTATCTTTGGTTTCTTTGTTGTCTCTCTGATTAATGCCCTCCTTGCCTGGTCCGTGAGTTTTGGTGGGCGGCCCCCTCTTGGCAGGTTTGTTGTGGTGCCATATGCTCAGTGTTCTTATTGCTGGGGGACATTGGTCACGTCTCAGGGGAACAGGTGGAGGGGTGGTGGGTGATGGAGAGTGACTCACAGAGCGCCGTATGAATCTGGGAAAGTGGTGACCCCCAGATCTGCTGCTTAATGTTGGGATCAAAAGACACAGACATTGATCCCATAACTTACATATGTGTGAGATGACACATATCTTTAAAATACTGGTAGGCTACTCATAATGTTGTAACTTTTACTGAAAGCTGTTTGAGACAGTGACATAGTACTGATCTGATTGGAGTCCTTTCAGACTTGTCCGTCTGTAGTAGACGACCTTCCAGGTAATGTGACTCCATCAGAGTGCAGCAGTTCTGAGGTGATGATGACCTCCTGTCTGTCTGTCTATAGGCTCAGGTTTCCCAGAAGTCCCAGGCAGCACAATTCCCTCCTCTGAGCTCCACAGCACAGCTTGCTCCCTGCACAAAGCTGAGTGTGCCCCAGTCACAAGCCCTCCTCTCTGGAGCTTGGAGCCACAGAGACACACGGCTTCCCACACTTCTGCATGTAGTCTGCTGAGCCCTGACACACAATAGAAGTGTGTCTGCTATCACAACGACCCACTGCATGGCAGGAGGGGTTTGAATGGACGTTGTTGGGGTTCCCAACACATTCCAAATGCATTCCTCATGCTCTTTCAGCCATCGATTAATATCCTCAATAGTTTCTTTATATTTACAATTCTGAGATGGCTCTCTTAATTTCTCCTTTAAAAGCGAACATGTGAAGCGCTTTATTTTAAAAAGCACTTTCATCAGTGATTTGTAAACATTTCTTGTGACTGTTTCATAGTTACATTCCAAATTCTATGATGAAAATTAGCTGGCTGGCTAAAACGGGCACTTTTACAGTAATGTTGATTAATGTCCAATGTCCCTGTAAAACTCAAATGTAATTAAGTAAAGTAAACCTTTCCACTGTACACTGTCTTCCATTGTTTCTTATTAGTCGTAAATGAGATTGCCACCACTGTTTTGATGCAGTGGTGAATGTGACGAATGTTCCAACAACTCATGTGACAACATTTACCTCTAGTGAACATGTTTTTGTTTGTCTATTTCTTCATTGAGAAATATTGTACTCGTGCGCTTTATTCCCAAGGGCGTTGGGAACTGCTTGTGTAGAGATGAATTAGCATTTAACAAGGCACACTTCTATTGTTTATTTGAAGCTATCGCAATGGGCAGTGTGGGAAAGCTCTGTGGGGCAAGCAGAGATTGAATTTATACTAAACTCAGCAAAAAAAGAAATATCCCTTTTTCAGGACCCTGTCTTTCAAAGATAATTTTTAAAAATCCAAATAACTTCACAGATCTTCATTGTAAAGCGTTTAAACACTGTTTCCCATGCTTGTTCAATGAACCATAAACAATTAATGAACATGCACCTGTGGAACGGTCGTTAAGACACTAACAGCTTACAGAAACACCAAAAGAAAGATGCCCAGGGTCCCTGCTCACCTGCGTGAACGTGCCTTAGGCATGCTGCAAGGAGGCATGAGGACTGCAGATGTGGCCAGGGCAATAAATTGCAATGTCCGTACTGTGAGACGCCTAAGACAGCGCTACAGGGAGACAGGACGGACAGCTGATTGTCCTCGCAGTGGCAGACCATGTGTAACAACACCTGCACAGGATCGGTACATCCGAACATCACACCTGCGGGACAGGTACAGGATGGCAACAACAACAGCCCGAGTTACACCAGGAACGCACAATCCCTCCATCAGTGCTCAGACTCTCCGCAATAGGCTGAGAGAGGCTGGATTGAGGGCCTGTTGGCCTGTTGTAAGGCAGGTCCTCACCAGACATCACTGCAACAATATCGCCTAACGGCACAATCCCACCGTCGCTGGACCAGACAGGACTGGCAAAAAGTGCTCTTCACTGACAAGTCACGTTTTGTCTCACCCGGGGTGATGGTTGGATTCGTGTTTATCGTCGAAGGAATGAGCGTTACACCGAGGCTTGTCCTCTGGAGCGGGATCGATTTGGAGGTGGAGGGTCCGTCATGGTCTGGGGCAGTGTGTCACAGCATCATCGGACTGAGCTTGTTGTCATTGCAGGCAATCTCAACGATGTGCGTTTCAGGGAAGACATCCTCCTCCCTCATGTGGTACCCTTCCTGCAGTCTCATCCTGACATGACCCTCCAGCATGACAATGCCACCAGCCATGCTGCTCGTTCTGTGCGTGATTTCCTGCAAGACAGGAATGTCAGTGTTCTGCCATGGCCAGCGAAGAGCCCGGATCACAATCCCATTGAGCACGTCTGGGACCTGTTGGATCGGAGGGTGAGGGCTAGGGCCATCCCCCCCCCAGAAATGTCTGGGAACTTGCAGGTGCCTTGGTGGAAGAGTGGGGTAACATCTCACAGCAAGAACTGGCAAATCTGGTGCAGTCCATGAGGAGGAGATGCACTGCAGTACTTAATGCAGCTGGTGGCCACACCAGATACTGACTGTTACTTTTGATTTTGACCCCCCCCCCCCTTGTTCAGGGACACATTATTCAATTTCTGTTAGTCACATGTTTGTGGAACTTGTTTAGTTTATGTCTCAGTTGTTGAATCTTGTTATGTTCATACAAATATTTACACAGTTTGCTGAAAATAAACGCAAAGTGAATGGCACAGATCCTACTGCAGCTCTGATTGGTTATGGTGCACCGGTCTGTGCAGAGTACGGGCCTGAGTCTTGCCTGCCAATGCAATAGAATGCAATGTAATAGAATCCTACTCTGATGTGTTCTGCCTACAACAAAATCTCTTGCATACTAAGTCTTGCATAGTTTGATTTGTTTCGGTATGTTGCATTTAAAGTGGTTAACATTGCGTTGATTCGATCACAATTCCCACAGTAAAGGGAAACGTTGATAGTGTTAACTAATGGGGAAAAACTCTAGAAAGTTGAGTGAAGTTCAATCTCGTTCTTCTCTACGTGGCTGATGTTTCTTCTGCGCGGTAGTCCCGGGGGAGATGCATACACATGTGCAGCTTAGAGGGAACATTGGTTGCTAGACGTTCACGTTATACACCCACCCATCCACCCCACTTTCGCTTAAGTAACCATCTGTCTTATGTAACCATACCGAACGTAACAATTTCTGTGTCGCAGATTTACATTTACTATGTTACGTCTAGTCTATGAGACCAGGCTGAGTGTACTGACAGCATTCCAAAGTTTATTTACGCCACCTACCTTTGCAGTATGGTCGAATGATCGTACTTTCGCTACTTTGTGTTGAACAGTGGAGTAATAGGCGAGTTTCGTCAGAGATCCACCTGTGGGGGAAAAAAATACTTTGTTCTAACGTGAGATAATTGATGGTAGTAGCTACCTAGCATGGAGTAACGCTAATGTCAGTCACTCACTGTTGACAGCTCAGCCACTTTGACCCAGCGGTCAAATTAGCTAACTTAGCTAGCTAGCCAGTTGAGAAAACTGCAGCTATCTAAGTTGACCCATAAACAAAAGTTAATTACCACTAGCTAACATGTATGTCTGTGGCAGGCCAGTGGCACTAAGGTAACTTCGCAGCTACCGGTACTTCATCTAAACACTGCAGCGCTAGCTAGCCAGACAGAAAAGACAACACGTCGTTGCTTGCTAGCCTCTAGTGAATGCCTGGCTGTGTATTGTCAAAGTAAGTGAATATACTCAAGTACCGATAGAAAGATGCAACTTAGTGTGTAACATTACCTATGTCTATTGCGAACCTCTTTGCATTTTCCAAATTCCTGAAGATCTCGTCGGGTGGAAGAGTTATGCTTTTATCCATGCTGTGTCTACTCCTGTCCACTTGCTCACACCCCGCCGCCATCTTGGAAGTAAATATTGGGAGGATTCGATTATACTGAGCCGCGGGGCACTGACTATTGGTCGTGACGTGAACGGGCAAAAGTGGTGAGGGAGGAGCGCCTAAATCAATCGAATACTAATCTGCGCCGCTAGTAGCCTGGCTGACCCACTTGACTACCGCTCATGTTGTCAACAAGGCAGCATGGTGCATCGTCCACTAGGGGGCAAAAGGTTGCTTAGACCGCTCAGTTGAAACATGTGCTCCCTCAGTTTTAGTTTTATGTCCCTATATAAAAATAGCAAAAAAGTTCAAAGGATTGAGTGACAGGTTGGCGCAAAATCCGAATATCCGCTGTACTACATCAGCACAATGGAGAGTGTGCAGCGGTGTGATTCGTCCAGAAACATACATATTTTATATAAAATATATGTTTGATTTTTCAAACTAGTTTTCATTGGGAAGGCAGATAAAGCGTTTTTATACAAAAAAAATCACTTTTGCTTGTGAAAAAAATAGAATCCTACTCATTACTCCCCGGGAGCACCCATACACAAAAATGTATGCACGCATGACTGTAAGTCGCTTTGGATAAAAGAGTCTGCTAAATGGCATATTATTATTTATTATTACTCCACTGGGGCCCGGGAGGCCCGCTTCCAAAACGAATGCAATCAACTTTCACCTGGTGCATTACAGTCCCTACCCTGGCGCCTGGGCCAGATTAATCAAATCCCCTCATTGGTCGTGTTCCTCTGCTCAGACGTTGCATGCATCAACCGTTTGGCATGTTCCTCTGCCCAGGCGTTGCTGACGCATGCCTGATCTTACAACGCCTGGATAGGTATTTTACGTATCAGCTAACCACATCATATGTTATAGCAATGTGGTGCCCGACCGTTGGTTGACGCATGCAACGTCTGAGCAGGGGCACAAGACCTATGGTTGCGTGCCACATCATCATCGACTGTGTAATCATTGCTATAACATATGATGTGGTTAGCTGATACTTAAAAAAACCTATCTAGGTGTTGTAAGATCTGGTAGGCGTAGCAACGCCTGAGCAGAGGAGCACGCCCATTGTAACAGACGTGTTGCGGAATGGTGTTCAGGTAGCTACGAAAAATAGAAAATCCCTCAATGGAAAAGGCCGCGTCCAGAGCTTAGACGTTGCTGATGCCTGATTGATCATACAACGCCTCAATAGGTATTTTAAGTATCAACTAACCACATAATATGTTATAGCAATTTGTCAGTCGATGACACAGTCACCTCGCCTTAGATGTGGAACGCGTCCACTATCTATAGGGCACGTTCAGCAGGACGCAATGTTTTGAAACATTCAGATGCCTCTCTGACACGTAGAATAAGGAATCACATTGGCTCTATCCATGGCATTTCTATCTGCAACGTTCAAAAACGTTTGGCAACTGAACATAGCCCTGAACTTCTGTGATATTTGATGTAGGAAATCTCAGGTCTTCTGTGATATTTTCTGTAGGCCTACACATAAGTGAAGGCTTGTGAAAACAATAAACGATTTGGTACACATTTGATGAGCAACTAAAATCAATATCATATCATAGTAAACCTCCAGCACACAGTGGTGTAAAGTAACTAAGTTCAAATACTTTTAAGTACTACTTTTGGGGTACCTGTAGTTTGCTTTACTATTTATATTTTTGACAACTTTTACTTTGACATACATTCCTAAAGAAAATATGTACTTTTTACTCCCATACACTTATTTCCACAATTATAACTGCCAAAACTTTTAACACATTTAGATGTTAGCTGTTCAGATGATTCAGAGAATATACATTTTATTTTTCAATAAATGTACTGCTTTATATATAATGTAATACTATTAAGTCCAAAACAACCTCAGTTTTCAGGCTTGTAAATTGTTGCTTCATTCCCTTCCTGAAGTGTGCCTATTCCCCCACTAAGACTCACAGGTGCTGGTGGGACTGATGATGCTAATGACAATGAACTGTCTCTGCTCTCCAGAGCTTTCCCACACTCTGCCCATTGCGATAGCTTCAAATAAACAATAGAAGTGTGCCTTGTTAAATGCTAATTAATCTCTACACAAGCAGTTCCCAACAAGCCCTTTGGAATAAAGCTCATGAGTACAATATTTCTCAATGAAGAAATAGACAAACACAAACATGTTCACTAGAGGTAAATGTTGTCACATGAGTTATTGGAACATTCGTCATATTCACCACTGATAGATAGAGAGATAGATAGATAGAGAGAGAGAGAGAGAGAGAGAGAGAGAGAGAGAGAGAGAGAGAGGCAGGCAGGCAGGCAGGCAGGCAGGCAGGTAGGGTAGGTAGGTCATCACCTCAGAACTGCTGCACTCTGATGGAGTCACATTACCTGGAAGGTCATCTACTACAGACGGACAAATCTGAAAGGACTCCAATCAGATCAGTACTATGTCACTGTCTCAAACAGCTTTCAGTAAAAGTTACAACATTATGAGTAGCCTACCAGTATTTTAAAGATATGTGTCATCTCACACATATGTCAGTTATGGGATCAATGTCTGTGTCTTTTGATCCCAACATTAAGCAGCAGATCTGGGGGTCACCACTTTCCCAGATTCACACAGCGCTCTGTGAGTCACTCTCCATCACCCACCACCCCTCCACCTGTTCCCCTGAGACGTGACCATTGTCCCCCAGCAATAAGAACACTGAGCATGTGGCAGCTCCACATTTCTCATTGTCCTCCCAAGCACACCCATTGGCTACAGACTGTGAGAAACTCCAACAAGCCCAAGACACAGACATTCATATGCAGATTTGGGACTATATATAGGAGAGATGATGCTAGTATAAATCAGATTCACTCTGCACAGAGACCTCCACAGCACAGAGATCCAGCCTTGGCGCCTACAATCACTTCAGCAATGATCTACTGTAAGGAGCACCTGACTCTGACCAAAAAGGTACATTGAAGATTCAAATTTAAGGACCATTATTCAGTTTGATTAGATGTATTATTTGTTTCAATAATACCATATTCCAGAACAATGTTATTAATGACTCTCCTCGTCTCTTCTTGCAGCTAAGGAAAACCAGTGGTGTAGAAGTTATGTAGAGATCGTATCAACAGCAGCATTGTGCAGCTCAAATCTCTCCTGGGTCCAGAGATCCTCAACCAGCAGCACGACTTCAAGCTGGATAAAGCAGACATCCTGGAAATGAGATTTTGCTTCCTGAGACGACAGCAACAGTACCAGCCAGTGAGCTCCTCCTCCTGCTAAGCACCTGTCAATCAGGGCTACTCCAGGTGTGTCCAAGAGATTTTGCACTTCCCGTCCAAGGATGAGGTGAAGACACATCCCAGAGAAGACTGCTGAGCCACTTCCAGAGCCTGCAGCCATCCTCTGATAAGAACAGGAGGGAGAGTGACCTGCCTCAGCTGAGTCCCCCACCCCAGCACAGTCCAGTCCAGTCAACAGCCCCCTCTGGAGGCCCTGGTAGAGTCCTACAGACTGGATCTCCACTCTCGGACAAACAAAATGGATCATGTTGGTCTTACATTAATGTTGTGGACAGTAATGAGAATAGAAAGAGACATAATATTCTACTTATGCAGGACATTTCAAAGTTCTGTTTTGACTGTGCTTGTTGTTTTTTCATTAATGTGTGAAAAAGCCTTCCTAATGGAAGTTCATATTGATATTACCTTTTATATTTTCCTCTGTGAGGAAATATCATCACTTTTCATGTAACATGAGTATCATGTAAATTTATTCTTACTGTGTAAGACGAAATTCCTCAATCTGCTAAGGGTGGTTTATATTCTGCACTGTTCAGAAAATGCAAAACAACCACAAAGGAACAATTTATTTCATTTTTAAAAAATGTTTCTGAGTGAATTTATCTTCTTTGAAGATTTGTCTTGAATTATCATTCATAATTGACCCATTATAGTCTATTTATTACCCACATTGGGTAAGAAAGCGCACAAAGAATGTTTACATTCTTGAATTATGCAACAATATCCTTATGTGAAGGAATTTCAGAAAATATTTTATTGTTTATGACTTACAAATCTTTAATTGATTTGATTGATATTCAAGCCTGTTTTTTTTGTGATTCACTACCAATGTTACAGCTTTTAAATGCTCATATTATATTGAGATATGTATCTAACAAATGCATTTGTCTATACAGTATGTTTCTTCTATGAAGATTTCATATAACCCACACTCTATGATGTGTCTTGAAGATGTTTTCAAGCAATTGCAGGGATGTTTCATCACATAGTTTAAGAAACATATTTTCTATATGATTCTTTTTTTTATTATTCAGTGTATCTGATTGTTTGTGTGGTTTATCAAAATCCTATACTTTGCATTAGAGTCCAAGTACTGGTCATTTGACATCCTAAAATCTTAGATCCAAGGAAGAAAGATGCAATGGTTTATGAACGTCATCAATAAATATACGATTGTCCTGTAGTTACAGTGCCTTCAGAAAGTATTCATACCCCTTGACTTATTCCACATTTGTTGTGTTAAAGCCTGAATTGAAAATGGATTATATACATATTTATTCTCACCCATCTTCACACAATACCCTATAATGACAAAGTGAAAACATGTTTTAGAAATGTTTGCAAATTTATTGGAAATTAAATACAGAAATATCTCATTTATTTTACATAAGTATTCACACCCCTGAGTCAATACATGTTAGAATCATCTTTGGCAGCGATTACAGCTGTGAGTCTTTCTGGGTAAGTCTCTAAGAGCTTTGCACACCTGGATTGTACAATATTTCACATTATTATTAAAATAATTATTCAAGCCCTGTCAAGTTGGTTGTTGATCATTGCTAGACAGCCATTTTCAAGTCTTACCATAGATTTTCAAGCCAATTTAAGTCAAAACTGTAACTAGGCCACTCAGGAACATTCAATGTTGTCTTGGTAAGCAACTCCAGTGTATATTTGGCCTTGTGTTTAAGGTTATTGTCCTGCTGAAAGGTGAATTTGTCTCCCAGTGTCACGCCCTGACCTTTAATGCCTGTTGTTTCTTGTTGGTTTGGTCAGAGTGTACATTCTATGTTTGTATATCTATGTTGGCCGGGTGTGGTTCCCAATCAGAGGCAGCTGTCGATCGTTGTCTCTGATTGGGGATCATACTTAAGTAGCCATTTTGCCTACCTATGTTGTGGGATCTTGTTTCTGTGTGTTTGGCTTGTTTGAGGTTTAGCCTTTAGAACTTCACGTTACGTTGCTTTTGTTGTTTTGTCGGTGTTTATATAATAAACGAACATGTACGCATACCACGCTGCACCTTTGTCCAATCCTGTACTCTACGAACGTGACAGAAGATCCCACCACCAACGGACCAAGCAGCGTGCCCAGGAGGAGCAAACACCTTGGACACAGGTGGGGAAGACACTTTGGTCTTGGGTGGAGATATTTGCTGGTAAAGGACCCTGGGCGAAGGTAGAAGCCCAGGTAGGAGAGGATCAACGGCGACGCCAACGGTGCCGACGACGAAGGAAGCCCGAGAGACAGCCCCAATAACATTTTTTGGGGGGGCACACAGGGTGGTTGGTGGAGCCAGGGGGCAGACCAGAGCCAACTACCCGCACTCGCTGTAAGGAGCGTGTGTTCATTGAGGAATCAAGTTATGCTACGCCTTCACAGCCCAGTGCGTCCTGTACCAGCGCCCCGCACGTGCCGTGCGAAAGTGGGCATCCAGCCAGGACGGGTTGTGCCAGCTTTACACTCCAGACCTCCAGTGCGCATCCACGGTCCAGTATATCCTGCGCCGGTTCTACGCACTGTGTCACCAGTGCGCCTCCCCAGCCCGGTACGGCCCGTACCTGCTCCCCGCACCAAACCAGTGGTGCGTGTCATCAGCCTGGTACGCCCTGTGCCTGCTCCTCGCACCAGACCAGTGGTGCGTGTTCCCAGTCCGACACGGCCCGTTCCTGCTCCTCGCACCAAACCAGTGGTGCGTGTATCCAGTCCGGCACGCCACGTACCTGCCCCCCGTGCCAAACCAGTGGTGCGTGTCGCCAGTGGTGCGTGTATCCAGTCCGGCACGGCCCGTGCCTGCTCCTCGCACCAGACCAGTGGTGCGTGTTCCCAGCCTGGTGCGGCCCATGCCTGTTCCTCGCACCAGACCAGTGGTGCGTGTCCCCAGCCCGGTACGGCTGGTACCAGAGCAGTCCGCTCCACCGGTGTCCAGTCCAGCTCCGGTCAGCTGCTCCACTCCAGTGCCAGAGCAGTCCGCTCCACCGGTGCCTAGTCCAGCTCCGGTCAGCTGCTCCACTCCAGTGCCAGAGCAGTCTGCTCCACCGGTGCCCAGTCCAGCTCTGGTCAGCTGCTCTAGTCCAGAGCCAGAGCTCTATGGCTCTATTCCGTTTCTTTTTATCCCCCAAAAAACTCCCTTGCCGATGACAAGCATACCCATAACATGATGCAGCCACCAACATGCTTGAAAATATGAAGAGCGGTACTCAGTGATGTGTTACAGTGAGGGAAAAAAGTATTTGATTCCCTGCTGATTTTGTACGTTTGCCCACTGACAAAGAAATGATCAGTCTATAATTTTTATGGTAGGTTTATTTGAACAGTGAGAGACAGAATAACAACAAAAAAATCCAGAAAAACGCATGTCAAAAATGTTATACATTGATTTGCATTTTAATGAGGGAAATAAGTATTTGACCCCCTCTCAATCAGAAAGATTTCTGGCTCCCAGGTGTCTTTTATACAGGTAACGAGCTGAGATTAGGAGCACACTCTTAAAGGGAGTGCTCCTAATCTCAGTTTGTTACCTGTATAAAAGACACCTGTCCAAAGAAGCAATCAATCAATCAGATTCCAAACTCTCCACCATGGCCAAGACCAAAGAGCTCTACAAGGATGTCAGGGACAAGATTGTAGACCTACACAAGGCTGGAATGGGTTACAAGACCATCGCCAAGCAGCTTGGTGAGAAGGTGACAACAGGTGGTGTGATTATTCGCAAATGGAAGAAACACAAAATAACTGTCAATCTCCCTCGGCCTGGGGCTCCATGCAAGATCTCACCTCGTGGAGTTGCAATGATCATGAGAACGGTGAGGAATCAGCTCAGAACTACACGGGAGGATCTTGTCAATGATCTCAAGGCAGCTGGGACCATAGTCACCAAGAAAACAATTGGTAACACACTACGCCGTGAAGGACTGAAATCCTGCAGCGCCCGCAAGGTCCCCCTGCTCAAGAAAGCACATATACAAGCCCGTCTGAAGTTTGCCAATGAACATCTGAATGATTCAGAGGAGAACTGGGTGAAAGTGTTGTGGTCAGATGAGACCAAAATCGAGCTCTTGCACAAAGTGAGTCCATGCAACTTATGATGTGACTTGTTAAACACATTTTTACTCCTGAACTTATTTAGGCTTGCCATAACAAATGGGTTGAATACTTATTGACTCAAGACATTTGAGCTTTTCATTTTTATTAATTAGTAAAAATGTCTAAAAACATTATTCCACTTTATGGGGTATTGTGAGTTGGCCAGTGACACAACATCTCAGGCTGTAACACAACAGAATGTTGAACAAATCAAGGGTTGAGAATACTTTCTGAATACTTTCTGAAGGAACTGTATGTAATATTCTGTGTTGATTAATTGAGTTGAATGTTTAGAGGTATGAGATATGTACTGTACATTTTCCCTGACAGCCAAAAGTACTCGTTACATTTTGAATGTTTAGCAGGACAGGAAAATGGTCCAATTCACACACTTATCAAGAGATGGACTCACTAAACACACACACTTTGTTTTTAAATGATCTCTGATTGTTGGAGTGTGCCCCTGGCTATCCATAAATAAATAAAACTAGAAAATGGTGCTGTCTGGATTAATTAATGTGAGGAATTTGAAATTATTCATACTTGTACTTTTGATACTTAAGTATATTTTAGCAATTACATTCACTTTTGATACTTAAGAATATTTAAAACCAAATACTTTTAGACTTTTACGCAAGTAGTATTTTACTGGCTGACTTTCACTATTACTTGAGTCATTTTCTATTAAGTTATCTTTACTTTTACTCAAGTATGACAATTGGGTACTTTTTCCACCACTGTTTGCATGTTTGTCTGTGCAGAAGTGCTTACTTGTGCAATGTCATTACAAAAGGCAAATATACTATTTTTACATTTGTCAAATGTATCTGTTCCGCATTGTTCCATAGATTACAGGCAGTTCTGTATCTTGAGTTAGCTAATATGTTGATGCGTGGTAGAGTTTCTAAGTGTTTTACAAAAATAAAGCTTATTGATACCCTCATCTTATCATAGTCAAATGGGAAGACAGAGAGTAAGTAACCTTCTTTGTCTGGGACTGGACTCAACTGCATAACTAATGTGATGAGTAATAAGACACACTTCTATTGTTCCTCCATTGAAAGCAAAGCAGTGAATGGAGAGAGTGTGGGAAACCCAGGAAAACTCACTCACAGAGCCTCTTAAGGACAATACACTCAGACCCCTACTTAGGGGGGTCAAGGGATAGGGAGAGGAATTTTGATTGTTATATTTCATTATCATAGGCCTATGTTTAGTAAATGTTCACATAATTTCGCAAAACAAAAAAGTTAATAAAGTCTGGTGAAAATCATAGATTTCATAGTCTTATTTTGAAATGTATTGTTACAGACCTTATACTAATACTAATGAAAAAAGGTCAATAATAATTTGCCGTATGGTTAACCCTTCAGGATTTTGAATTAAACTTGTTGCCTCTTGTATAGGCTACCGAGACTATGACTCGGTAGCCTACACAGGCCGTCATTGTAAATAAGAATTTGTTCTTAACTGACTTGCCTAGTTAAATAAAGGTAAAATAAATAAATAAATAATCAATTAGTCAAAAATTTGTGTTTATCACCATCTAAATTGTCAAATATCTAAGAAACTAACTTTACCCCCAGGGGCTTGATGGGAACTGCTTGTGTAGAGACGATAGCATTTAACAAGGCACACTTCTATTCTATTCACTTCTATTGTTATGTGGAAGCTCTCTCAATGTGCAGAGTGTGGGAAAGCTCTGGAGAGCAGAGTCTCAGTTCAGTTTCATGAGAATTATCATAATCAGTCCCACCAGCACCTGACTGTCTGGGGAACACCCAGAGCCACTGGGGAATAGGCACACGTATAGAGGGGAATTAAAAAATAAACAGTGATTTGCCTATTTGGTTAAGTACATTTTTAACACTATTCCTATCTTTATGGAAGAAAATCTTATATAATATAATCTTATTATTGTAATAACATCATATGTTTCCTTTCAAATATAGCTATTGTCTAGGACAAAGAGAATCAATATCAGCTCAAATACCATTTAGAAAACAGATTGAATTGCAGACATTGACTTGGACTAACTTGGATACACGGTCTGTACCTATAAGAGTATGTGTTGAACCAGCCAGTGCAGGAGTTTCCCTCCAGAATCCAGATGGTCTGTGATGTCAGGCTCTGGCTATCGTACACCACAGAGCCAATAACCATCACTAATGGTCCACTAAACAGCTTTTGTAGTGCATTGATCACAGCACACAGGACTCAGTGTGGGAAAATCAGATCAGCTCTCTACTACAGAGGACACATCTGCTACCTCCGGACTTCCAAAACTGTAAGTGTATTCCCTCCACTCCGAATAATAGGAACAGTATTGCAACATTTCTCTCAAATAGTTATGAGAAATGATGATGAAGTCACGCCAATATCGATCTACATTTTGCTCATATTGCTATTTTCTCTGTCTTCTATAAGAATTCAACCCATTATACTGATTATGCTGACTTCATAATAATAACAAAAAACATTTAGCATGAATAATTCTGAATGAATCTCAAACGTGTTAAAACTTTTTACGGATAAAGCAAACACGCAAACAAGCTAAAATACTGAATTTGCAAACGGCAAACAAGCCGTTTCTCTATTCAGGAAAACAAATAAAGAGGTAATATTCATAATGCAGTCACCAAATACGATACGGTAGGCTATGAATCTTCCAATAAAATGTATAAGAAAGTAGTGTAAGTTTTAATGCAGAAGATATGTGTCAGTCCCGCACGTGTACATTTTGATGATGAGTGTATGCACTGTCTGTGTCACTGAGCCATTAGGCAGGAAATCTGGGGGTCACCACTTTCCCAGATTCACACAGCGCTCTGTGAGTCACTCTCCATCACCCCCCACCTCTCCACCTGTTCCCCTGAGACGTGACCATTGTCCCCAGCATTAAGAACCCAAGCTACCCCATTGGCTACAGACTGTGAGAAACTCCAACAAGCACAAGACCCACACATTCATATGCAGATTTGGGACTATATATAGGAGAGATGAAGCAAGTAGAAATCAGATTCACTTTCTACACAGAGTCCTCTACAGCACAGAGATCAAGCCATGGCACCTACAATCACTTCAGCCATGATCTACTCTAAGGACCACCTGACTCTGACAAACAAGGTAAATTGAAATTACAATTTGCTTTATGATTTGTTTCTTGATAATAGAAATAAAAATAATATTTTTATCACACCTCTGATATATTTTAGAACAATGTTATTAATGACTCTCCTTATCTTTTTGCAGATTAGAAAGCCAGTGGTGGAGAAGTTACGCAGAGATCGTATCAACATTAGCATTGAGCAGCTCAAGTCTCTCCTGGGTCCAGAGAGCCTCAACCAGCAGCCTGACTCCAAGCTGGAGAACGCTGACATCCTGGAGATGACAGTTTGCTTCCTGAGATGACAGCAACAGTACCTGCCAGTGAGCTCTTCCTCCTGCTCAGCACCTGTCAATCAGGGCTACTCCAGGTGTGTCCAAGAGATTGTACACTTAGTGTCCACGGATGAGGTGAAGACACAGTCTCAGAGAAAACTTCTGAGCCACTTGCTGCTGGACCTCCAGAGCCTGCAACCATTCTCTGATAAGAACAGAAGGGAGAGTGACCTGCCTCAGCTGAGCTCCCCAGCTCAGCACAGCGTCAGCAAAGAGAAGAGTCAAGTCATCAGCGCCCTCTGGAGGCCCTGGTAGAGTCCTACAGACTGGAGCTCCACTCTCAGACAAACACAATGGACCATGTTGGTCTAAGAATAATGTAATGGATGTTAGACAGTAATGAGAATAGGAAGAGATCTTCTTCCTTGTCGGCTCATGCAGGACATTTCCAAGTCCTCATTACAGAGAATTTCATCCTTATCTTCTGCATTTGCAGGAGTTTATTCTATAAGTTTTGGTTTTAATGAAAAGGGCATTGAACAATATCAATATTTGAATGTTCCCCTCTTGATTACAAGAGGATCAATTGAATATTCTGTTTTTATTTTCGTTTCACGAATAAGTTTATATTTCATTTTTATAAAGTGAATATACTGTGTATTTTTCCCTGTGGGGAGTGTTTTTAAAAATAATTTATGAATTGGTGTTCACTGTCTTCCTAGTGGAAAGATTAGTAAAAAAATGTCATTCCTATTTGTACTGTTTTGATATTGATATTAAAACATACAAACAGTATCATATGTCATAATTATAAAAAATGATATCTGCATTTAAGCCAGAATAAGTTTCTTCCTCTCGATTGCGAGATGAGTTAAAACATGTGTACTGGTTTGTGTCACTATGTGAGTGTATCAGTATCACTCGCCTTCCGAGAAGGTATTGTTAAGCTTGAAAATATGTTTTCAAAATGAATGTAAATCTTCAAATCATGTCGATGCGAATAAAAACAATCATCGAAAACAATTATTATGTTTTTTTGATTCATTACACGCCATTGAAATTTCAAATGTCTAAATCTTTCAAATTAAATCGTTTTTTTCCATATATGTACAGTACGTACTTACCTGCAAATTAGTCATGCAGGAAATACACAAATTCGTATGCTGCCTATTTCTCATGACTAAATGTAATCGAAAATATAATATACTGTAAGTAATCCCCAAAACAAATTATTGATCATGAGAGGGCCATAAACAATAACTAGTAATGCTGCATACATTGCATTCGAGAAGTATTCAGACCCCTTCACTTTTTCCACATTACGTTACATTACAGCCTTATTCTAAAATGGATTACAAATATAATAATCTCATCAATCTACACACAAAACACCATAATGACAAAGCGAAAACAGGTTTTTAGAAATACCTTATTTACATAAGTATTCAGACCCTTTGCTATGAGACTCGAAGTTGAGCTCAGTTGCATCCTGTTTCCATTGGTCATCCTTGAGATGTTTCTACAACTTAATTGGAGTCCACCTGTGGTAAATTCAATTGATTGGACATGACTTGGAAAGGTACACACCGGCCTATATAAGGTCCCACAGTTGACAGTGCATATCAGAGCAAAAATCAAGCCATGAGGTCTAAGGAATTGTCCGTAGAGCTCCGAGACAGGATTGTGTCGAGGCACAGATCTGGGGAAGGGTACCAAAAAATGTCTGCAGTATTGAAGGTCGCCAAGAACACAGTGGCCTCCATCATTCTTAAATGGAAGAAGTTTGGAACCACCATGACTCTTCCTAGAGCTGGCCGCCCGGCCAAACTGAGCAATAGGGGGAGAAGGGCCTTGGTCAGGGAGGTGACCAAGAACCCAATGGTCACTCTGACAGAGCTCCAGAGTTCCTCAGTGGAGATGGGAGAACCTTACAGAAGGACAACCATCTCAGCAGCACTCCACCAATCAGGCCTTTATTGTAGAGTGGCCAGACGGAAGCCACTCCTCAGAAGAAGGCACATGACAGCCTGCTTGGAGTTTGCTAAAAGGCACCTAAAGGACTCTTAGACTATGAGAAACAAGATTATCTGGTCTAATGAAACCAAGATTGAACTCTTTGGCCTGAATGCCAAGCATCACGTCTGGAGGAAACCTGCCACCATCCCTACGGTGAAGCATGGTGGTGGCAGCATCATGCTGTGGGGATGTTTTTCAGCGGCAGGGACTGGGTGACTAGTCAGGATCGAGGGAAAGATGAACGGAGCAAAGTTCAGAGAGATACTTGATGAAAACCTGCTCCAGAGCGCTCAGGACCTCAGACTGGGGCGACGGTTCACCTTCCATCAGGACAACGACCCTAAGCACACAGCCAAGACAACGCAGGAGTGACTTCGGGACAAGTCTCTGAATGTCCTTGAGTGGCCCAGCCAGAGCCCGGACTTGAACCTGATCGAACATCTCTGGAGAGACCTGAAAATGGCTGTGCAGCGACGCTCCCCATCCAACCTGACAGAACTTGAAAGGATCTGCAGAGAAGAATCGGTGAAGCTTCCCAAATACAGGTGTGCCAAGCTTGTGGCGTCATACCCAAGAAGACTCAAGGCTGTGATCGCTGCCAAAGGTGCTTAAATAAAGTACTGAGTAAAGGGTCTGAATACTTATGTAAATGTAATACTACCGTAATAAATTAGCAAAAATGTCAAAAAAACATTATCGGGTATTGTGTGTGCATTGAGGAGGAAAAAAAACAATTGAATCCATTTTAGAATATGGCTGTAACGTAACAAAATGTGGAAAACGTCAAAGGGTATGAAAACTTTCTGAATGCACTGTACTCCAAATTTTACCTTTCTTATAATTTTTTTAAAATAAATTGCTGAGGTGTAGTCAATTTTGAGGACACAAGCTCAAGTACACAGTATTAAATATTTTATATTATGTATTTCCTATTCAACAAAACTGTATGAATGAGGCTTGAAATTACTTATATGCGTTCTAAATATAGTTTAATCAAATTATAAAATGACTAACTATAAGATTTCACATCCTATGTCATACAAGCTCAGAAATATACTACTGTGTCATTGTGGGAAGCCGGGCTATCGCTCAATGCAAGCCATTTTAATCTACGGTGTCAACAGATGATCCATTTCTAAGCGAAAATGTTGATGTAGGTCGGAAACCGGTACCAGAACCACGCAGGTCCCCTAAACAGGGGACTTTAAATCTAAGAAGTTTTAACTGTGTCAATTGACTTGTCAATTTGCTTGTCAGTCATTGTTGCTAATGTAATGAATCATGTAATGTAGTAGTAATTAATATAATTAATTAGTAATGAATTAGTCATTAATGCTAGTTATTACTCCTAATTACTGTTAACTACTCATGGAAATGATGTCACAGTTAGTGCTCAACAGATACAGTAGACTGGTCATGCCCAAATAGGCTTCTCCTACAGGTGGGTTACTGCACTGCCCTAACTGATGCACATAATACAGGACAGTCCCATTCCCTATCTAACCTTTTCTCCTCTTTCACTCCCCCTCATGGATTTAAAAGGAATTAACTAGTGTAAGAAATATAATGGACCATCAGTGCCATGCATTTACATCTATGTGAGCAAGTGCACCCTTGGTGGGAAATTGTAAATCCTTTTTGTGAAGTACCATAATGATGCTTTGGACTTTTTTGCAGTGTACACATTTTTGAGGAAGTAAGTTCAAACAATCAGAAGATGTCCTACTCCTGAGTCTTGTGAATTTCAATATGCTGGTAAATGAAGCCATTAAAATTCAGTATACATTTCAGACAAAAATCACAGATAGGATGAATAGACAAAGAAAGGTATGTTGGATTTTGTTTGCAGTTTTATTAGCTGACAAAAAGAAACAACAATATTAAGAAGAATATAAATGCCCTTTGCTTAGCTCATGCCCGCTCCACAGGTTCGTTTCTCACATTGCAGTGATCATTTTGTTTCAGACCCTAGTCTCAGCCCAGTCTGTGACTGCTGACCTACAACCTCCACATCCATGCGTCTCTCTCAGTTCATTGTTCGAAGCAGTGGTACAATGTCCTCCTCTGGAGCGGGAAAGAGACGCAGCATGTCCCTGGAACATTTGGAATAGATCGTGGGTGACAACAAGGCCTTCTTCGGTGTGAAAAAGGACACAGTCTTCTCCAAAATAGGAGATATGGGAGATGTAGGAATCCCGTTCTGGAAGTGTCCTCCAATAACTATCTTCAGTCTCTCCACACCACTGCTGCATTTCTTCTCAAACAGAGAGTTTACAACTAAAAACAAGAAAATACAATTATGGACACCTATTCTCTCTCACACACAGTTTCTATTCATTTTAATATCTTATGACCTGAAGTATTTCAGTGTAATTTAACCTGATCTTTCCTAATGTGCTGATCTTTCACGTTCATGCTGTCCTGAAGAGCAATGTCCATGTAGGCTGGCATTTTTAGATATTGGTCTTGAGTTTGAAGCTTGTCAATAAAGTAGAGATGTTGGTCTTGGTAGGTTTTGCTCTAGAGTTTGTGTTGTGGTAGCTCCTCTGCTGTGCTGCGTTGCTGCTGGTCTTGGGTCAGCTGATGCTTAGAGAGTCTTCCTTAGTGAGCTCTGCATCTCCACTTTGTGTGTATGTGCCTCCTCCTAAGCTGTCACATGCTCTGCAGCCAATCAGAGGGCTCGGATGGTGGGACAATAGTCAGTGGGAATAAAAGCTAATTCCACACAGGACAGGTGGGATGTTGTTCTTTATGCCATACGCCAAAGAGGTCGGCCACATTAGTCCGTGGGAACGTGGCTATGCCCATGTGTAATCAGAAAAACGATGTTCTCATGTCAAGTTGTGATACAAATCATCAGAATTATAATATGGCACATATGCTAGGATTACAAGTCTTTCTACTCATTGCAACACATATACACATCACAGAAGACACAACAACACGCGTCTTTATTTATAATATGACCATTTTATAGTAGGAATATGATAAAGACAGTGATGAGCACATAGTTGCTTGGATTACCTGTCTTTGGGCTAATAGCCAACCATCAGCAAAATATTGGACTATAAACTGGCCATCGCAATTTTAACTGATCCAGATGGTTTGCCCTGTAAGCCTGCATGGGAACAGCCAGTGGGTCTTTGTGATATCAGACACACTTCTATTGTGTGTCAGGGCTCAGCAGACTACATGCAGAAGTGTGGGAAGCCGTGTGTCTCTGTGGCTCCAAGCTCCAGAGAGGAGGGCTTGTGACTGGGGCACACAGCTTTGTGCAGGGAGCCAGCTGTGCTGTGGAGCTCAGAGGAGGGAAGTGTGCTGCCTGGGACTTCTGGGAAACATTCCTTATTGTCCTCCGAAGATCATCCATTGGCTACAGACTGTGAGAAACTCCAACGAGCGCAAGACCCACACATTCATATGCAGATTTGGGACAGATGAATATATATAGGAGAGATGAAGCCAGTAGAAATCATGATTCACTTTCTACATAGAGACCTCTACAGCACAGAGATCATGCCATGGTACCTACAATCACTTCAGCTATAATCTACTATAAGGAGCAGCTGAATTTGACCAATAAGGTAAATTGAAGATTCAAATTCATGGAAATGAATTCAATTTGAATGATTTTCTATTTGTTTCAATAATGCCATATTCCAGAATAAGGTTATGAATGACTCTCCTCTCCTCTTCTCGCAGCTAAGAAAGCCTGTGGTGGAGAAGTTGTTCAGAGGTCGTATCAACAGCAGCATTGAGCAGCTCAAGTCTCTCCTGGGTCCAGAGATTCCTCAACCAGCAGTCTAACTCCAAGATGGAGGAAGCAGACATCCTGGAGATGACGGTTTGCTTCCTGAGACGACAGAAACAACAGCAACAGACCCAGCCAGTGAGCTCCTCATCCTGCTCAGCACATGTCAATCAGGGCTACTCCAGGTGTGTCCAAGAGATTTTGCACTTCCTGTCCAAGGATGAGGTGAAGACACATCCCAGAGAAGACTGCTGAGCCACTTCCAGAGCCTGCAGCCATCCTCTGATAAGAACAGGAGGGAGAGTGACCTGCCTCAGATGAGCTACCCAGCCTAGACAAACACAATGGACCATGTTGGTCTTAGATCAATGTCATGGACAGTAATGTGAATAGGAAGATATCTTCTTCTTCATCTTCTGCTTATGTAGGTTTTTAAAAGTATTGCTGCGATTGAGACATTTAAATTCAGTTGTACTGAACAAGTTGAAAGGTTTTTCGACGGAAATGATGCAATCGATGAGCACTATATTTCTGTAGTATTTTTTAAAACACGTGTTGATTACGTTGATCATGTGTTTATTCATGATCAACAATAACTTGAATGGCCCTCCATGAGGACTTTTAACCCAAAATGGGTGTTATATCACCAATCTGTTTGTGATTGTTTATGCCTTATATTTTTTAAGGTCAGCGTATAAGATAAAAAACGTGTTTGCTTTCTTACCACTAAATTTGTGTAGTGATATGGTCATATTGACATTATATTGATCTTCTGTGAAACATGTATACTAGTCCTATATTTCCGGACCGATATAGCCGTCTGTAGATAAAATAAATAAATCAGCACCCCCACCCCCAAACAGCTATGTGTATCAGTTATCTATTTGATATTGATCAACTTGAGCTACAGCATCACTGTTCCTCCATGACGATTATTTTCCCAAACTGGGTATTATACAGTACCTGTTATCATCACTCTGTGATTAGCAATATTTGATCTGTTTTAAGATCAGACTTTATGTGTGAAGACTTTATGTGTGAAAATGTTGCTCACATGATTTGAATAATGTACACATTGCAGATTGTGAAAACTGTTCTCTCTCATTGTAAAACCTCTTGTTTATTTTAAACAATATGTTGTCTTTTATAAAGACATTAACTGTGTATCCTAATAAAGACATTAACTCTGTTTGAATATCATGTCTTGGAGATACGTCCAAGTTCTTGTTGTGATGTTTAGTCATTTTATTTATATTGAAATATTTACCTTAAATTAAGGTTTTCAATTATGTGAATCATTGAGTCAATCTGAATAAATACACAAATCATTAAATTAAATGTTGTTTCCAGCACAGTTACATTACTGATTTATGAAATTCCACATGTAGAAACAAAAAAGCCTACTATTACTGTAAATAAGGATATTGAATTCACTAGAATGCAACACTGAATCCATATTAATTTGTACCTCTCTGGGTGCTTCATTCAAAGTCTACCACGTAAGATAAAGATTGGACATTTCTATCCACACATAATTACATTTTTTCCTTTATTTAACCAGGAAAAGACATGACAAGACATTGCATGAATTGTTTTAGTTGACATGTGTAAGTGACTGTAGATAATTAATCATAAATATGAGTTCCCGAGGAGGCATGAATGTGGTTTAAAAAATGACTGATGCACCTATCTTACATACATTTATTTTCAGTGTATCAGAACGTATTACAATTGCATTTCCGTGACTTTAGTTTGGTCATAAGTAATTTCAGGTGCTGGGCCAAAACTGCTACTGTCATCTTAGTGCTCTAAAAGTTTAGGGCAGCTGTGCCCCCAAAACTCAATAGCTAATGTGATGTGCAATAAGACACACTTCTATTGTTCCTCCATTGAATGTAGTGAATGGAGAGAGTGTGGGAAACTGAGGAAAACTCACTCACAGAGCCCCTTTGGGACAATAGACAGGGACCTCTACCCTGGACTGTCAGAGGGGGGTCTGGCTCTCTATGGACAAATCAATGGATCTATTTCTTATAATCCCACAAATGTTGAGCACTTGGGTCATGGAGGTAGAACTTTGCAAATGTTTAGAAAATAAAAATAAAAACATCATATTTTTAAAATGTGAAAGGCATCCATTATGTATTTTTGAGGCAGAAATGTGCCCTTCTCCAAGAACAATAAGGCCTATCTACATAACCAGTGACATAAAGCATTTAAACACATTTTCTAAACTGTTTGTATGTGGGGCATGGTTAAAAATATGTAATTTGATTGTGTACACAAACATGCTTCCAACTTGAATTGATTCTCTGTAACAGTGAGTCTTTCATCTGTTTCTTAAGAACAATATTTCAGTAATGAGCTTTGCCCCCAGGGGCTTAATTAACTGCTTGTGTAGAGATTCATTAACATATAACAAGGCACACTTCTATTGTTTAGTGGAAGCTCTCTCAATGGGCAGAGCGTGGGAAAGCTCTGGAGAGCAGAGTCACAGTTTAGTTTCACCAGTTCCAGAAGCACCTGTGAGTCTCAATGGGGAAAAGGCATACTTTAGGAGGGAAATAAAAGAAAGATGAAATAAAGGAAACTCAGATTTACCAAAATGATGAAAGCCGTTTTCAGTTTTTCTATCTCTATGACTGAACAATCTTTATTAGTCAATTTGTGTAGCCCACTTATTTGTGTAGAAAGAAGTGAAGCACTCACAAATCTCAAGGGAATTGAACATATTTTGTAATTAATCAAAAAGTTAAATTAATTAAAAGTTTTAGTTCAAAAGTAGACACAATCATATGATATTTTGATTGGCTAACAATCTCTTTCTAAAAATGTGTCTTGTTAGTTTAGGCATTGAATCAGCCAGTGCTGGTGTTTCCCTCCAGAATCCAGATTGTCTGTCAGGCTCTGTCTATAGTACAACACAGACCCAATAGCCATCACTAATGGTCCACTGAGCAGCTTTTGTAGTGCATTGATCACACAGGACTCAGTGTGGGAAACTCGACTAGCTCTCTCAGAAACCAGTGGTGTAAAGTACTTAAGTAAAAATACTTTAAAGTACTGCTTAAGTAGTTTTTTGGGGTATCTGTACTTTACTTTACTATTTATATGTGTGGCAACTTTTACTTTTACTTCACTACATTCCTAAAGAAAATAATGTACTTTTTACTCCATACATTTTCCCTGACACCCAAAAGTACTTGTTACATTTTGACAGGAAAATGGTCCAATTCACACACTTATCAAGAGAACATCCCTGCTCATCCCTACTGCCTCTAATCTGGCGGACTCACTAAACACAAATGCTTTGTTTGTAAATTATATCTGAGTGTTGGAGTGTGCCCCTGGCTACCCATAAATACAAAAATAAGAAATAAAAATTGTGCCGTCTGGTTTGCTTAATATAAGGAAGATTAAATGATTTATACTTTTACTTTTGATACTTAAGTACATTTTAGCTATTCCATTTACTTTTGATACTTAAGTATATTTAAAACCAAATACTTCTAGACTTTTACTCAAGTAGTATTTTACTGGGTGACTTTCACTTTTACTTGAGAAACTTTTACTTCAGAAACTGACCAGTAGCCCCAAGACAGAGGACACAATCTGCTGCATCTGGACTCCCAAAACAGGGAGTGAATTCCTTCCAAAAAACTTGATATCCTACTTTTCCCTAATGTTGTCTAATTGTTATTTTTTCTAGATTAGAAAAAGTTAAATACTGAAATCACAAGGAATTACCAAATGGATATGTTGTTTATAAATATAGTAAAACAATGCAAGTCATTCATCATATCAGATTAACAGAGTTTAAAATCATTTTAAGTGCTTAAATGTGACCAAACTGCAGTGTATTAAGGACATAGCAGGCTGTTCCTCAAAATGCAACAATCTAAAGGATTTGGGTAAACGCCAAGAGTTTTAATGTAGAGGATCTGTGTCAATCTCACACGTGTAAATTGTGATGATGAGCGTGTGCTCTGTCAGTGTCATCGATCCCAACATCAGGCAGCAGATCTGGGGGTCACCAATTTCCCAGATTCACACTCTCCATCACTCACCACCCCTCCACCTGTTCCCCTGAGAGTGACCATTGTCCCCCAGCAATAAGAACACTGAGCATGTGGCAGCTCCACATTTCTCATTGTCCTCCCAAGCTCACCCATTGGCTACAGACTGTGAGAAACTCCAACAAGCCCAAGACACACACATTCATATGCAGATCTGGGACTATATTGAGGAGAGATGAAACCAGTAGAAATCAGATTCACTTTCTACATAGAGACCTCTACAGCACAGAGATCAAGCCATGGCACCTACAATCACTTCAGCAATGATCTACTCTAAGGAGCACCTGACTCTGACCAACAAGGTAAATTGAAGATTCAAATTCAAGGACATTTATTGACTTTGATGGATGGTTTATTTGTTTCAATAATGCCATATATCAGAATAAGGTTATTAATGACGCTCATCATCTCTTCTTGCAGCTAAGAAAGCCAGTGGTGGAGAAGATATTCAGAGGTCGTATCAACAGCAGCCTTGAGCAGCTCAAGTCTCTCCTGGGTCCAGAGATCCTCAACCATCAACCTGACTCTGAGATGGAGAAAGCAGACATCCTGCAGATGACGGAGAAAGCAGACATCCTGGAGATGACAGTTTGCTTCCTGAGACGACAGCAACAGTCCCTGCCAGTGAGCTCCTCATCCTGCTAAGCACCTGTCAATCAGGGTTACTCCAGGTGTGTCCAAGAGATTGGGAACTTCCTGTCCAAGGATGAGGTGAAGACACATCCCAGAGAAGACTGCTGAGCCACTTCCAGAGCCTGCAGCCATCCTCTGATAAGAACAGGAGGGAGAGTGACCTGCCTCAGCTGAGTCCCCCACCCCAGCACAGCATCAGCAAAGAGAAGAGTCCAGTCAACAGCGCCCTCTGGAGGCCATGGTAGAGTCCTAAAGAAGCTCCACTCAGACAAACTTGATGGACCATGATGGTCTAACGTTAATGTCATGGATGAGAATAGATCTTCTTTATCTTCTTTTTATGTAGGAGTTTTTACAAGTCTTTCTGTGATTGAGATTTTTATTTCAGTTGTACTGAAGTTAAATTGTTTTTCTAAGATAATGATCCAATCGATGAACACTGCATTTCTGAAATCATAACCTTTATGTTTTGTGAAACGTGTTAGTTATGTTTATCATGTGTTCATTCATAATCAACAATACTTTTAACCCACTACGTGTATTTTATCATCATTTTCTTTGTGGTTGTCTGTGACTGATCTGTTTTAAGGTCAAAACGTATAAGAGAAAACAATTTTTTGTTGTTGTTGTTAACACTACATTTGTGTAGTGATATGGTCATGTTGACTTTATATTGAGCATCTTCTGTGAAGCATGTATCAGTTATCTGTTTGATATTGAACAACCTAAGCTATAGCATCACTGTTCCTCCATGAGGATTATTTACCAAAGATGGGTATAATACCTGTTATCTTCACTGTGTGATAAGCAATATTTCATCTGTTTTAAGATCAGACTATGTGCGAAGGCATAATGTGTGAAAATGTTGCTCACATTATTTGAATAATGTGCACATTGCAGATGGGAGAAAACTGTCCTCTCTCATTGTAAAACCTCTTGTTAATTTTAAACAATAGGTTGTCTTTTATAAAAACAGTAATTGTGTATCCTATACTCTTAGAGTATCTTATGTCTTGGAGATTTATCCAAATTCTTGTTGTGATGTTTAATCACTTCATTTTTGTTGAAATATTTACCTTAAATTAAGGTTTTCAATGATGAGACTCATTGAGCTACTCAATAAATACACAAATCATAAAATGAAATGTTGTTGTTTGTTACTCTATTCTTCTGTTGACAACCTTCCATCACAGTTACATTACTGATTTATCAAATTCCACATAGAGCTACTAGCTAGACCATATGGGGCTGAATCGAACAAAGCCTACTATGAGCTAAGACTCTACAGAATTATCTTGAAAGAATGACACACTAAATCTATATATCATTCACCTCTTTGTGCTTTGTTCAAAATCTACAGAGTAAGATAAATATTTTTCTAGTCACATATTATAACTTCACATTAATTGATTTGATATAGTCATAAAATACTAATGAATGATTCAGGCTGTTTATTTGACATATAATATCACTAAAGTGTAATGAAGTTTGAAATAGATAATTTATAATATGAGTTCCCAGAGGCATGGCTGTGTTGTTTTTACTGAAACACCTGTTTTACGTAAATGTATTTTTAGTATTTCAGAATGTATTGCAATAGAATTGGCATCCCATGAATAGTAGTTTGTTCATGATGTATCAGTGATTCCAGGTGTTGGAAGAAAACTTCTGCTGTCATCTTAGTGGTTTAACAATGTACGGCTGCAGGGCTGCATAATGTGATGTGCAATAAGACACACTTCTATTGTTCCTCCATTGAAAGCAGTGAATGGAGAGAGTGTGGGAAACCCAGGAAAAATCACTCACAGAGCCCCTTTGGGACAATAGATTCAGACCTCTACCCTGGACTGTCAAAGATTAGAGGGGGGTCTAGGTCTCAATGGGGAAATCAAGGGATCTACTGCTTATGAGCCCTTAAATGTTCTGTATTTTGTGTTTTGTAGGAAGAAAACTGATCAAATATATACATTTTCTAAATAAAGGTTGAAGAAATCATATTTTGATCATTTGCTTTTTTGCAGCACATTTGGACAGTACTTCTTCTTCATCAAGATCAATGCAATTAGTCCAGTATTTATACTGTTTGTATGTGGGGTACAGTTAAAACATGCTATTTGTTTGTGTACACAAACACACAGGTTTGCCTTGATTATCTGTAACAGTGTATCTTTACCGTTTTTTGGTGTGAAATATTTCAGTAATGGGCTTTACCTCCAGTGGCTTTATGGGAACTGCCTGTGTAGAGATTAATTAGCATTTAACAAGGCACACTTCTATTGTTTAGTGGAAGCTCTCTCAATGGGCAGAGTGTGGGAAAGCTCTGGAGAGCAGAGTCTCAGTTTAGAGTCATTAGCCTCATCAGTACCACCAGCACCTGTGAGTCTTAACGGGGAATAGGCACACTTGTATTGTTCAGTGGATAGAATGGGTGGGAGGGGGTATTTGGGGTTATTTCTTACTCTTGCTTATGCAATTAATAAATAAAAAATATTATGTAAGCATATTCTCTGCAAATATACATGAGTAGAAAATGCTTATTTCTCAATTATTATATGGATATGTGTCTGGTTTACGTTTCAATATGAGAGATAAGACACAAATGTATTATGATAACTTTCAATGCCATTTTGATTGTGCATTATATTCGTATTTTCTGTATAATTATTTTAATGATTTTTCTATAATGATGCATGAGCATCTTGTAAATTCAGATCATGAATCAGCCAGTCCTGGTTTTTCCCTCCAGAATCCAGATGGTTGGTGACGTCAGGCTCTGTCTATAGACAACACAGAGTCAATGGCCGGCACTAATAGTCCACTGAGCAGCTTTTGTAGTACATTCATCACAGCACACAGGACTCAGTGTGGGAAACTCAGATTAGTGCTCTACTCACACTAACCAATAGCCCCAAGACAGAGGACACATCTGCTACCTCTGAACTCTCAACACTGAAGGAGAATTCCCTCCATTCTCAGAATACAGAAGTAGTGAAGGTGTGTAGATACAAAACTCTTTCTCTTCAAGAAGAACATCAATAATCAATCAGTTTAATGGCATTCAACAACAAACCCAACCATCAAAAATACTTGTGTAGCACCAAGAGTTTTAATGTAGAGGATCTGTGTCAATTTCACATGTGTAAATTGTGATGATGAGCATGTGCTCTGTCAGTGTCATTGATCCCAACATCAGGCAGCAGATCTGGGGGTCACCACGTTCCCAGAGTCACACAGCACTCTGTGAGTCACTCTCCATCACCCACCACCCATCCACCTGTTCCCCTGAGACGTGACCATTGTCCCCCAGCAATAAGAACACTGAGCATGTAGCAGCTCCACATTCCTTATTGCCCTCCCAAGCTCACCCATTGGCTACAGACTGTGAGAAACTCCAACAAGCCCAAGACACACACATTTCTTATGCAGATCTGGGACTATATATAGGAGAGATGAAGCCAGTAGATATCAGATTCACTTTCTACACAGAGACCTCTACAGCACAGAGATCCAGCCATGGCGCCTATAATCACTTCAGCAATGATCTACTCTAAGGAGACTGGAGCTCCACTCTGAGACAAACACAATGGACCATGTCGGTCTAAGATTAATGTCGTGGACAGTAATGAGAATAGGAATAAATATTCCTCATCTTCTGTTTATGCAGGAGGTTTTAAAAGTATTGATGTGACTGAGAACCTATTTTTATTTATGTTTCTATGAAAATGATCCAATCGATGAACACTCCATTTTTGTAGTGTTAATTGAAATAATAACCTTCGTGTTTTATGAAACATGTGTTGATTATGTTGATCATGTTTTAATTCATGATCAACAATAATTTGAATGGTCCTCCATGAGGATTTTTAACCCAACATAGCTTTTATATCTGTTTGTGATTGTCTATATGATGGATCCTTTTTAAGATGAAACCATATAGGTAGGACATGCTGTTTTGTTATCACTACATTTTGTAGTGATAAGGTAATATTGAAAAGTTATTGCGTATATATCAGCAATTAAGATATTTCAGAGAAATGTGTGTTCTCTCACATAAACACTCTTGTTGATTTTAAACAATTATGTTGTCTTTTATAAAGACAGTAAATGTGTTTCCTATACTCTGTTAGAGAATCATAAGACTTAGACAATTGTCCAAGTTCTGGTTGTGATGTTTAATAACTATTATTTGTCTATTCACCTTGAGGTGATCAGATTTATGATATCTCCATTGAGTCAATTTGAATAAACTAAAAAAGCAATCAAATGAATTGATAACTTCTCATTCTTCACTTTTTTTCCTTTCTTTATTATTTACTAATCTCCTCATGCAATAACATTACTAGGCTAAATTTCACATTTAGATTGTGCAGATTAAGTTAAAAAAGTGATTACCCAGAGCCATAAGTTTTAAAAACTGTGAAAATAGTTATCTGGTGGCGCCCCCTGGTGTGCGTTTAGCTCTTGAATTGTCCATGGTGCTGAACTACACTACCGGTCAAAAGTTTTAGAACACCTATTGAAGATAGCCCTATTTGGTAAAATACCAAGTCCATATTATGGCAAGAACAGCTCAAATAAGCAAAGAGAAATGACAGTCCATCATTACTTTAGGACATGGTCAGTCAATATGGAACATTTCAAGAACTTTGAAAGTTTCTTCAAGTGCAGTCGCAAAAACCATCAAGCGCTGTGATGAAACTGGCTCTCATGAGGACCGCCACAGGAATGGAAGACACAGAGTTCCCTCTGCTGCAGAAGATAGGTTCATTAGAGTTACCAGCCTCAGAGATTGCAACCCAAATAAATGCTTCACAGAGTTCAAGTAACAGACACATCTCAACATCAACTGTTCAGAGGAGACTGTGTGAATCAGGCCTTCATGGTCGAATTGCTGCAAAGAAACCACTGCTAAAGGACACCAATAAGAAGAAGAGACTTGCTTGGGACAAGAAACATGAGCAATAGACATTAGACCGGTGGAAATCTGTCCTTTGGTCTGAAGTCCAAATTGGTGTCTTTGTGTGACACGGTGTGGGTGAACGGATGATCTCCGCATGTGTATTTCCCACAGTAAAGCATGGAGGAGGAGGTGTTATGGTGTGGGGGTGCTTTTCTGGTGACACTGTCTGTGATTTATTTAGAATTCAAGGCACACTTAACCAGCATGGCTACCACAGCATTCTGCAGCGATACGCCATCCCATCTGGTTTGAGCTTAGTGGGACTATCATTTGTTTTTCAACAGGACAATGACCCAACACACCTCCAGACTGTGCAAGGGCTATTTTACCAGGAAGGAGAGTGATGGAGTGCTGCATCAGATGACCTGGCCTCCACAATCCCCCAACCTCAACCAAATGAGATGGTTTGGGATGAGTCGGACCGCAGAGTGAAAAATGTATGAAAACATGTATGCACTCACTAACTGTAAGTCGCTCTGGATAAGAGCGTCTGCTAAATGACTAAAATGTAAATGTAAGGAAAAGCAGCCAAGTGCTCAGCATATGTGGGAACTCCTTCAAGACTGTTGGAAAAGCATTCCAGGTGAATCTGGTTGAGAGAATGCCAATATTGTGCAAAGCTGTCATTAAGGCAAAGGGTGGCTATTTGAAGAATATCAAATATCAAATATATTTTTACTTGTTTAAGACTTATTTTGGTTACTACAACCATATGTGTTATTTCATAGTTTTGATATCTTCACTATTATTCTACAATGTAGAAAATAGTTACAAATAAAGACAAACCCTTGAATGAGTAAGTGTTCTAAAACTTTTGACTGGTAGTGTAGAATTTCCCGCCACTGCAGCATACGAAGTAAAGTCTTTCTAAACTAAGTTACTAATGCCATTGCCAGCTAAGGCTGATCAATGTTACCCTACTAACATAATTATGTTGAAAGTCATTCCACAATTGGCTCAGTGCACCTTGAGTCAGCGTGATTGTAACAGTGAAATAGATCCAAGACAGAACCGATAGAATTACTATAAAATAATCAGGAATGTTTAATAAGTGATATCAATTACAACATGATGTGAAAATAATCATTGCTGAACTTGAAAAGAGAATTAACATCATACAACAAAACAGAGTATAATGCCTTTACAAAAGGCAAAATAATTCGAGAAGCTTACTCTCTATAAGAGAAAAATTGCTTTGAAGTAGTATTTGTCATACACTGTAGACAATTTCATAGGTACATCAAAACAAGACATGTGCAAATGTTGCACAACTGACAATAAAAAGCCTATTATGAAAATAAGACACATCAACTACAGCATTGGTTTTTGGGCTGAGAGGAGCAAATCTGATTCAAAATGTTCAGGTAAGTTTCCCTAGTCTTGTGATACAGTGATCATTGTCAGTAGGCTATTACCATGGCCTCCACAGAGAGCCTTGGGACCGCGGTGATAATGACCTTGATGTTGACTGCTTGGCTGCAGATCGCGCGTGCTGTTCACCTGACATGCGCCTGGACAGGGCTGTTTTCTGGAGCACGTAAAAGCGTTTGATCTCCTCTAGTTCTGCAGCCTGCAGGGGCGCGTGAAGGGACAGGTGGCGGAGGGTCTCCTGCAGACACTGGGAGCAGCCCTGGGAGTAGGTGGGCGAAACGCCCGCTGTGGTCTCCTTCTGTAGGAAACTCACTGCCAACTCCAAAATATCGGCTTTCTCCAGGTTGGATGAGCGCTGCTGCTGCTGCTGGCCACATATCTGTCCTCCGTGGAGAAGTTTCCTCAGTTGCTCAATGCTGCTGTTGATGCGGTCTCTCCGAATTTTCTCCACAATGAGCTTCCGTAACTAAAGGAAGGATAAAGAAAAAAATATTAGGCTATTGTTCGTGATAATTAAACTGAAACTAAAAAATATTAAAATAAAATGTTGTTGTGCTTGTCAAAGGTCGAACATTAGGCTACTTACCTTATTGTTGGATGAACAGGGCGAGTTCTCAACAGAAGTAGGCCTATTGCTTTCAGCAAAAGGAGCCATGGCCGTTAGAAACTGAGGCGTTCCAACTTGGGACATATAGAGTGGATGTTCTTCAACGAGCTCTCACACAAAGCTATCTGTAGCCCAGCAACCTGTGTCTGTATTTATACTACGCGCATCCCTACCTAATTGCGTGGACTTTTAACACCTGAAACTTTCCCACACTCCACAGCCAACCATATAGCCGACGACTGCAATAAAATTTCAGCGACATATATTTGATGACATCCCCCATCTGCCATGTTCCACTAACACTGTTGGAAGGAACATAAGTGTGTGACTCGGACATGCTGTCACCCAAAAGTGTGCCGCTTAATCACACCTACCTTGGCGCCTTACTACACTGCCCACGAGCCCACCATTTACCATGAGCAAAATAGTCTGTCTCCTTTGACGGATCTTTGATGTCCACCACATGGTGAGATAGGGGGGGAAACAGGAGTAGCCGGGCACACGTTACCACAAACATCAAAGATGCATTTTGCGACCATGGTGCTTGTCAAATAACTCATCAAGCTAGATCCACGCGATGCTCCACAGGAAATCGAATGTGTGGTTGCCTATCACTTTCCACTTTCCGGTAGGTAGCCTACATTCTGTGTTTACTGCACCATCTGTCGGTAAATGCAGTTGCATACTTTAGCCCTTTAACTAATTTAATGTCAAGTTAAAATGAACGAATAATCGCTCTCTATCTCTCTCGCCTCACTCTATCGCTCTGTCACACACACACGCGCGCACGCACACACGCACACACACACAGTTGAATAATCTGGAGGGACAGATTAGAAGTGTGCCTGACCAATATGGTTTAGATTAATAATCAATTTGTCCTACATATTAATGATACTATGTCACAACGGCTGATGATGATGTGGTGAAGGAGTCAAATGCAGACACAGAAACTCAGTCCTATACTTTACTCAACACGACCAAAAATATACAAAACACTGGCCTCAAAACAAACAAGAGGCGAACGATGCGCAACAATGCGCAAAAGGCTAGTATTCCAAAGGCGCACGAAAACAGCACAGTGCGAGTGCGACGACAGGAAAACAACAAACAAACAACGAGCCGACCTGATGACAGGCGAACAATAACACACAACACAAGACTAACCAAACGGGAAACTTATAGAGGACATAATCAACTAAACAGGACACAGGTGTACACAATCAGACAAAACCAACAGACAGCGAAAACATCAAACAGTGATAGCTAGTACTCCGGGGACGACGGCCGCCGAAGCCTGCCCGAACAAGTAGGAGGAGCAGCCTCGGCCGAAACCGTGACAGTACCCCCCCCCCTTGACGCGCGGTCCCAGCCGTGCGCTGACCCCGGCCTCGGGGACGACCAGGAGGACGCGGAGCAGGGCGCGTAGGATGACTACGGTGGAACTCAGTCAGGAGAGACGGGTCTAGGATGTCTCTCCTCGGCACCCAGCACCGTTCCTCCGGACCGTACCCCTCCCACTCCACGAGATACTGGAGACCCCCCATCCGACGTCTTGAGTCCAAGATGGCCCGAACTGTGTATGCCGGAGCCCCCTCGATGTCAAGTGGGGGCGGAGGAGTCTCCCTTATCTCATCGTCCTGGAGTGGACCAGCTACCACCGTCCTGAGAAGAGACACATGGAACGAGGGGTTAATGTTCTTATAGTTAATAGGTAGTTGTAATCGGTAACACACCTCGTTCAATCTTCTCAGGACTTTAAAAGGCCCCACAAACCGCCGACCCAGTTTCCGGCAGGGCAGGCTGAGGGGCAGGTTTCTGGTAGAGAGCCAGACTCGATCACCAGGTGCGTACACCGGCCCCTCACTGCGGTGGAGATCGGCGCTCGCTTTCTGACGACGGATAGCCCGCTGCAAGTGGACGTGTGCAGCGTTCCACGTCTCCTCCGAGCGCCGCATCCACTCATCCACCGCAGGAGCCTCGATCTGGCTCTGCTGCCACGGTGCCAGAACCGGCTGGTAACCTAACACACATTGGAAAGGGGTTAGATTGGTTGAGGAGTGGCGGAGGGAGTTCTGGGCCATCTCTGCCCAGGGGACATACCTCGCCCACTCCTCCGGCCGGTCCTGGCAATACGATCTAAGAAACCTACCCACATCCTGGTTCACACGTTCCACCTGCCCATTACTCTCCGGGTGGTAACTCGAGGTCAGGCTCACCGAGCGCCCCAAACGCTCCATAAACGCCCTCCAGACTCTGGAAGTAAACTGGGGACCTCGATCAGACACTATATCCTCGGGTACCCCGTAGTGCCGGAACACGTGGGTGAATAGAGCTTCGGCGGTCTGTAGGGCAGTAGGAAGACCCGGCATTGGGAGCAGACGACAGGCCTTGGAGAACCGATCCACAATGACCAGTAATGTAGTATTCCCCTGTGAGGGGGGAAGGTCTGTGACGAAATCCACCGAGAGGTGAGACCATGGTCATTGTGGAACGGGCAGGGGTTGTAACTTACCCCTGGGCAGGTGTCAAGGCGCCTTACACTGGGCGCACACAGAGCAGGAGGAGACATAAACCCTCACATCCCTGGCTAACGTTGGCCACCAGTACTTAGCGCTAAGGCAGTGCACAGTCCGGCCAATACCAGGATGTCCAGAGGAGGGTGACGTGTGAGCCCAATATATCAATCGATCCCGAACCTCGAGCGGAATGTATGTCCGACCCACCGGGCACTGTGGAGGACTAGGGTCGGTACGCAACGGCCGCTCGATTTCCGCATCGACCTCCCACACTACCGGTGCCACCAGACACGACTCCGGCAGTATGGGAGTGGGCTCCACGGACCTCTCCTCCGTGTCATACCGCCGAGACAGTGCGTCTCCCTTACCGTTCTGGGACCCAGGGATGTACGTGATCTTAAATACGAAACGGGCTAAAAACATGTTCCACCGCGCCTGGCGAGGGTTCAATCTCCTAGCTGCCCGTATGTACTCCAGGTTACGGTGGTCAGTCAAAATGAGAAAAGGGTGTTGAGCCCCCTCAAGCCAATGCCTCCACACCTTTAGGGCCTGTACCACGGCTAACAGCTCCCTGTCCCCTACGTCATAATTTCGCTCCGCCGGGCTGAGCTTTTTGGAGTAAAAAGCACAGGGGCGGAGTTTAGGTGGCGTGCCGGACCGTTGCGAAAGTACGGCCCCAATACCGGCCTCTGACGCGTCAACCTCTACCTGAAATGGTAAAGAGGGATCCGGATGCGCCAGCACCGGAGCCGAAGTAAACAGGTCCTTCAGTCTCCCAAAAGCCCTGTCTGCCTCGGCTGACCACTGCAGACGCACGGGACCCCCCTTCAACAGAGACGTTATGGGAGCTGCCACCTGTCCAAAACCCCGGATAAACCTCCGGTAGTAATTTGCAAACCCCAAAAACTGCTGCACCTCTTTAACAGTGGTTGGAGTTTGCCAATTATGCACGGCTGACACACGGTCTACCTCCATCTTCACCCCTGACGCAGACAACTGATAACCCAAAAAGGAGATAGACTCCTGGAAAAACAGACATTTCTCTGCCTTGACATACAGGTCGTGCTCCAACAGCCTCCTCAACACTCGACGCACCAGGGCTACATGCTCGGCTCGGGTGGAAGAGTACACAAGTATGTCATCAATGTACACGACCACACCCTGCCCCTGCATGTCCCTGAAAATCTCATCTACGAAGGATTGGAAGACTGAAGGAGCGTTCATCAACCCGTATGGCATGACGAGATACTCATAATGACCTGAGGTGGTACTAAATGCTGTCTTCCATTCATCACCCCCTCTGATGCGCACCAAGTTGTATGCGCTCCTGAGATCTAGTTTTGTGAAGAAACGCGCCCCGTGCAATGACTCAGTCATAGTCGCAATCAGCGGGAGTGGATAACTGTATTTCACCGTGATCTGATTGAGACTACGGTAATCAATGCACGGGCGCAAACCCCCATCCTTCTTCTTCACAAAAAAGAAGCTTGAGGACGCAGGGGAAGTGGATGGCCGTATGTATCCTTGTCTCAGAGATTCAGCTATGTACGTCTCCATAGCTCTCTTCTCCTCCTGAGACAGAGGATACACATGGCTCCGTGGAAGCGCTGCTCCTGCCTGGAGGTCTATCGCACAATCTCCCTGCCTATGGGGAGGCAACCGCGTCGCCCTCGATTTACTGAACACGATTGCCAAATCCTCATACTCGGGGGGAATGTGCAGTGCGGGCACCTGGTTTGGACTCTCCACCGAGGTCGCCCCCACGGAAACACCTAGACATCGCCCCACACACTGGGCAGACCACTCCTTAAGAGCCCTCTCTTGCCACGAAATAGACGGATTATGGGTAATCAACCAGGGAAGCCCCAGCACCACCGGATACGCAGGAGAGTCAATCAGATATAGCTGAATAGTTTCCTCATGACCCCCCTGCGTCCTCATCCTAAGTGGCGCAGTGACCTCCCTAATCAACCCCGATCCCAAGGGACGGCTGTCTAAAGCATGGACAGGAAATGGGGCGTCGACCGGAAGAAGGGGAATCCCTAGTCTTAAACAAAAATGTCGATCAACAAAATTCCCAGCTGCGCCTGAATCGACTAGCGCCTTATGCTGGGAATGAGGTGCAACCTGTGGAAAATGTACAGGTAAACAGACGTGCACAACAGAGAGCTCTGGGTAAGTGGGACGCCTACTTACCTGGAATGACTCCCCAGTGCGTGGCCTGTCGTCCTCTCCCCTAGGAGACCCTACCCAGCACCGAGCCGCAGTGTGCCCTCCACGGCCACAGTTGGTGCAGGGAACAGCCCCCCTCGGGTTCCTCCTCCTCCTCTCTCTAGCGCCAGCACCTCCGAGCTCCATAGGGCTCGGCTCGGAGGTGCTGGAGGGTGGAATGGACGACCCCCACTCGGTGCGTCCGCGGGTAGCCAGCAGGGTGTCAAGCCGGATGGACATGTCCACCAGCTGGTCGAAGGTAAGATGGGAATCCCTGCAGGCCAACTCTCGACGGACGTCCTCCCGTAGACTACATCGGTAGTGGTCGATGAGGGCCCGCTCATTCCACCCTGC